TCCGGAGCGCGATCCATCTCCTCCGGCACACACCATGGTGTTCTTCACGGTGGAGCCCCAGTAGGAGGATCTGGAGCAGGTGGCATAGTCCACGGAGGGCAGGTATGCCTGCTGCAGGGTCTGGGACAGCTGCCCGTTGGCTGAACAAGGACACACAGCATTGGAGATCAGCCCCAGATGCTGTCCAAGGGGAAACCTTCCCATATCCTCCCAAACCTTCCCAAGCTCTAATGAATGCTGAACTCAGGGCAAGCTCCTTCTCTCTGCTCATCGCATGTCATAGATTCTCCTTTTTTCTTTCTTTATATGGAATCTACAGGCCCCTTTCTTCAGGGAGTCATCCTTGATTATTGTTCCCTGGCTCTAAACAACCAGTCCCACTCCTGCTTTTTTTTTTTTAAACTCATGGATACCTTAGTTAAGTAACTAGAATTATTTGTTGATACCATATCTGCCTGCCCTGCTTTTTCCTCACACTGTTAACCACATGAAGCAGAACCGGGACTGTGCATCTTTGTTTCTATTTCTTAAGAACTTGGTGCAGCTTGTCTTTATCTGGGTCTTTAACTTTGCAAAGCCTTTTCATGTGAATTATTTCTTTGGATGCTTACAACCCTTTCATATTAAAGACCATGAAATTGAATTGCAATGATATCAAGTGAACTGCGAGCAGAGCTGGATGAGAAGCACGTCTCTCAGCTCCAGACTTTCCCAGTAGACCGGCTGCTCACAGCGAGGCCGTGTTCCCTGCCCGAGCTCAAATGCTGCCTGGTGGCCGAGAGACTTTCCTGTCAGGCCTCATGTCTCTGCCCTTCTTAACCATCTCTGCTCGCAGTCTCTCCCACCTTTGCCTGTTATCTGACCGATATTCCCTTACAGGAAACACCCTCCCCTCAATGACCATAAGGGGGCTGAGGCCTCCTCTGCCTTGACTTCTCCAGCCCCACAGCTGCCGCTGTCATTTACTCCAACCCAAAGACCCGGGACTGCCTATGGGGGTAGCATGATGGGGCAACACCCACCAAAGTGGGAGCCGGGATACCTGGGTTCGGGCCCCAGCTAACGAGTCATGTGTACTCGTACAAGGTCTTTAATTTCTTTGGGCCTCAGTTTCCTCGTGTGTAAAATGAAAGACTGGTACTACTCTCTAAGTTTTACGTATTATATTTTGTTTGTTATTTTCTGGTCTCTGGCTATGAATACCTAGGACCACAGACAACTGTACCCTGTGGGTGGCGTCCAGGTAGGTAACTTACTTCTGGTCAATCCCCAGCCTGTGATGTAGCAGGGACTGTCGTTGGCCAGGATGGCCCCTTCCTGCGGCAGCGCACCCAGCTGCACGTAGCTGTCGAGGGTGACACTGTTGGCCAGGCGCAGCAGGGCGATGTCATAGCTGTGGCAGGGGAGGAGACTGCTCACTCGAGGGGTCGGGCCGTCCTTTGGGTCAGTGCAGGGGCAGGCCCTCGCCGAGCCTTTGTGTCCCCATAAAGTTGGGAACTAACGATTTTGAAGAAGAAAAGGTCTGACTTGCTAAATTTCAAAGTCGATGCATTACACATTTGGATTGTTAGGACATTGTATGTTTAACAGTAGCACACATTGGTGAGGTCTTTGTGCTGTAGTCCAGCTCTGATTTCTGCAACTCTGGGGAGGAGAGCTTATTACACCTTCCAGTTATAAGTGGGGAATCGGGGAGGAGCAGGGTGGTGTGAAGATGGTAGCAGGGAAGGGTTCTCTGGGAAAGACGTAAAAATCTGTGCGGTTCTGAAAGCTCCACAGAAATATGCCAATGACTTGAACCTACCCCAACCCCCACATTCTACAGAATTGACCACCATTTCAACTACTTCTTTTCCAAAAGTGTGCGGCTCAGTCTGGAAGGAGTTTTCTTATGTAAGTTTCATTTTAAGAAGTTTCCTTTTGACTTCCGGCCAAGATGGAGGCATAGATGGAAATACTGTACCTCCTCACACAACCAAATTTAAGGACAACAAAGATTTAGAAACAAAACACAACCAAAACAGACAGAAAATTGAACTGTACCGAAGTCTGACAACAACAAACCATTCATCCAGACTGGCAAGAGGGGCAAAGTTGGCGGCCAGCCAGCAGAGAGGGGTCCCGGCAGGAAGAGGCTGTGGTTAGCGGACTGGGTGGGCGTGGGATGAAAACCCAGTAAGGGTCACAAGGTGGCTGGCTGACTGCAGATACACATTTGTGTGCAGATAAACTAGGCAGGTTTAAAAACGGTCAGTGAGACCGACTGTGCTATCCAGGGCCCCAGAAAGGACAAATAAAGCCTAAAAGCACAAATTGGGAAAACTTTTGGGGGTCAAGGTGCTGGGAGAGGCTCCCAGCCTCACAGGAGAGTTCGTTGGGAAGACCTACAGGGTCCTAGAATGTACACAAGCTCACCCACCTGGGAACCAGCACCAGAAGGGCCCAATTTGCTTGTGGGAAGTGGCAGAGGGGACCAAAATCTGAGACAGAATGGAACAACACCATTGCTTCCTCTCTGACCCCGCCCCCAGTCACAACCCAGTCACTGGATAGACCTGCCCTAGTGAACACCTAAGGCTCTGCCCCTCGTACACAACAGGCGTGAACAGACCAAAACATTATGGCTCAAGAACTCAAAGACCCAGAGCCAATATCTCTAAGCGACCAAGAAATAGCCAAGCTATCAGATGCACAATTCAAAACACTGGTGATCAGGATGCTCACAGGACTGGTTGATTTTAGTCACAAATTAGACGAACATATGAAGGCTAAACTAATTGAAATGAAGGGTAATGCACAGGAAACCAATAGTGATGGAAAGGAAACTGGGACTCAAATCAAGGGAGTGGACCAGAAAGAGGAGAAAAATGACCAAACAGAAAAGGATGAAGAAACAAGAACTCAAAATAATGAGGAGAGGCTTAGGAACCTTCAGAACATCTTTAAACGTTCCAACATCCAAATTATAGGGGTACCAGAAGGGGAAGAACAGCAAAAAGTGGAAAACTTATTTGAACAAATAATAAAGGAGAATTTTCCCGATCTGGCAAAGGAAATAGATTTCCAGGAAATCCAGGAAGCTCAGAGAGTCCCAAAGAAGCTGGACCCAAGAAGGAACACACCAAGGCACATCATCATTACATTAGCCAAGATTAAAATGAAGGAGAGAATTCTAGAAGCAGCAAGAGATAAGGGGATAGTCACCTACAAAGGAGTTCCCATCAGACTGTCAGCAGATTTCTCAAAAGAGACCTTCCAGGCAAGAAGGGGCTGGAAAGAGGTATTCCAAGTCATGAAATCCAAAGACCTACATTCAAGATTGCTCTATCCAGCAAAGCTTTCATTTAGAATGGAAGGTCAGATAAAGTGCTTCTCATATAAGGTCAAGTTCAAGGAGTTCATCATCACCAAGCCCTTATTATATGAAATGTTAAAGGGACTTATCTAAGAAAAAGAAGATAAAAAAGATGAACAGTGAAAGGACAGAAAACTCAGTTATTAAGAACCACACCTAAAACAAAAGCAAACTAAGCAAACAACTAGAACAGGAGCAGAACCATAGAAATGCAGATCACATGGAGGCTTAGCAACAAGGGAATGGGAGGAGGAGAAGGGGGGAGAAGGTACAGAGAATAAGTAGCATAGATGGTAGGTGGAAAATAGGGGGAGGGCAAGAATAGTATGGGAAATGTAGAAGCTAAAGAACTTGTGACACATGGACATGAACTAAAGGGGGGAATTTTGGGGAGGGGATGTGCAGAGTGGAGGGGAATGAAGGGGGGAAAATGCAACAACTGTAATGGCATAATCAAAATATATTTTAAAAGATAAATAAATAAATAAAACTTAAAAGAAAAAGAAATTTACTTCTGCTGATGGAGTCTACTCCATAAAATGAATAATAAATAACTATAAAAATGGAAACATTAAACTCTGCAGAGAAGGAGCTTCAGGTGATCCACTCACGCCATCCAGGCTAAATCAAATAAATACCAAACCTTCAAAAATTCTCAGGTGCTCCAAAACCTAAATTCTCAAAGTCCTTCTGGATGAATGCGAAGGAAACCAAAGCCCTGTCGCTAACTAGCGAGCCCTCCACCTCACAGCCCAGGCCAGCTCAGCCCTGCCCTTACCCGGCAGCCACGTCATTGCTGTTCCAGTATGGATGCACCACGATCTTCCGCACACTCACATACTGCTCGGTACCATCGTTCTGGCTTAGGTTGTGGTCTCCCACCACCACACGGAAGGTCATTTGGCTGGAGTGAGAGAGGGAAGCCCCGAGTGAGCCAAGGTGCTGAAGCCTTCTCTTCCCCTCTGAGCAAGAAGTTGGGAAGCCGGCTTAGGACAGGAACCCGTGTTATCCGGCACAGGCAGAGGGAGGGTGGAAAGCCCAGGATGGTGAGGAAGTAACAAGCTTCCTCATTTCCTAATTCACTAACTTGTGGGAGTGACAAAAAACTACCATCAACTTCATATTCCCAATTTATTAAATTAAATGTCATAAACTGAATAACCTGAGTGAGGTGTGGTGAGCATAAATGAAATAATGGCTTTTGGCTCACAGAGGGATTTTGAGGAAAGTATAAACTTCCAGACCAGTAATTCTTAAAGCACGGTCCCTGGACCAGCAGCATCAGCATAACCTGGAAATTGTTCCCAATGCAGATGATCAGGCTTCAGCCTCGACCTGTCAAATCAGAAACTGTGGATGGGGCCCAGCAGTCTTGCCCTTCCCGGTGATTCCAATACATGCTTAAATGAGAACCATCACTCCTTCCAAGCGACTAGACACTTAAAAGTTCACTTACTGAATCTGCACTATAACTCCACAAAGTAGGTGTTGTTACCCACCTTAGAGATAAGAGAAGGAGGACTCAGAGAAGCTAAATAGATCATCCAAGGTCACATAGCTGGAAGCGAGTGGAACGGGATTTGAATTTGGACTTTCCTGATACCAGAATGTGTACTTTTCTCTATATTCTACTCCCTTCCCACAGGCCCCCAAACAACCCCCTGGGGTCTTGCCCTGAGTGGTCACAGACACAGATGCCTCCAGAAGGGTTCGACTCCTCCCCGCTGGGGCCTCAGAAAAGCTGGTCTGCATTTTCTCACCTGTCCACGCAGTGAGCGGCTGTCATCACCCAGTTCCTTCTGATGAGGGTCCCTCCGCAGGTGTGGTACCAGTTACCTCTGGACAGGTACTGGAGGGAAATCTAGACGGGGAAGGAAGAAAGAAGGAGTAAGTGGTATTTCCTAAAAGGCTTTGTCCCAAACCATATGCTACCCCCTTAAATTCCTGCCATCTCTCAAAACATTCTTTAGCTTTCTGGGCTAGAGATGGCAAATAGGTTTCATTCTACCTGTCAGTTGCTCTGAATTGGTTGGTAGTGGCTACTTGGAGTGCTGGTGGGAATGGGTGGTAGGTGGTCTGGGGTCGGCAGCAGGAAAGACACTCCGCTGTTTGGTGACATTTGCTGTGTGTGGCGGGGGGAGGTAAAGGCGTGCACACAGAGGGCGTTTGGCCCGCCTCCTCTAGGCTGCACGAAGGGCCGAGAACCCGGGTCCTTGCACTTCCATTTCCTCTTGGGGAGGAAACGCAGCTATGGACTTACTTCATTAACTAAGACGCACAAGCTTAGGTCCCAGAGCTTCCCCTCCAGTGCTTTCAAAGGTGCGCCCCGTCCCCCTGCGTCAGGGGTATTTAGAAACGCCACCTGAATGTTCATGTTCGCCGGGTCTTTTCCGCCAGCGCCTCGCGTCGCACAGCGGCTCTGCTCCTGACAGCCAGGGCTCAGACTTCGTAAAGGGAATTTAATTCTAATGGCAGGGATGCCTCTCAATTTGCCAGTTTTGCACATTTAGAATTGGATAAATCAGAGCTTAGCTATCCTATTATGAAACTGGAAACTCTTTAAAACAGCCAGGTAAGCAACATGCCCTACTTAGGGGCAATAGTGAACTTAAATAAGTGACACACACTGTATGGACGGGTGCAAGTGTGTGACTGTGTGTGTGTGTGTGTGTGTGTGTGTGTGGGCACATAAGGTCTGAAGTGCAGGCCTGGCACACAGTCTTGTTAATGTGGCCCCGTGGTATCACAGGGAACGTCAGTGTCATGTGTGTTCAGGGGTGTGCCTGAGAGAATGAGTGTGGTTGCTGTTTAAATTTCCTGCTTTAAGCTTTTTGCATTTAGAAAAAGCAGCTAAGTCTGGTCCCACGCATCTTTAAAATCCAGAACCCAGGCAGTCGGAGAGCCTCCTGTTGATAAGGACATATGCAAACGCATGTCATGCTGTGTTTTGGTGTCTGGGGCAGCTCTTACTTTGTCGGAAGTCTGGGTGTGCAAAGGAACACTCACCTGAGAGGGCCAGGAATTCCTCCGGGCCTCAGTCCCTCCAACTACCCGGGCATTGGTTTCCAGAAAATCCTGGGTGCTGTGTCCTTTGCGGGGCAGAAGAAGAGTGAGTGATGACTAAGCACGGGGTCAGCCCAGGGCGGGGCAGAGGGGAGCGGTGGTGCTTTGTCAGCAAATTCACAGTCCCTCCCGAGCAAACGAGGGGCCCTCTCTGAGCCCCCTTCGAAAGCAAGGGAGTCTGAGTGCCGCCTTCTGTCCCTGGGCATCCCCAGAACCCTGGCATTCTGTGAAGGATTTACTTCAAATCACCAGGCTTCTTGTGGTCTCAGCCTTGCTCAGGGCCATCCCTTGGCCTGGGAGGACCCCCTTTTCCCTGACTCTCCTCCCCAAACAGCACTTTGGCAGGATTTTCCAGGGGGAGGGACAGCAGTGCTCATCCCAGCCAGGCACCTGCTGAGGCTTCTCCCTGTCAGCGGGGACGGGTAGGAAGGCCCAGGCCCCTGGGAGAGTCTCCTCTCTGCTTCATGCGGGGCCTGCATGCAGAGTGGCCCCGACCTTTCCTATCACGGGCCCCAGGAGAGTGAAACTTTGGCTAGACCCAGTCAGAGTGTCCCACCCACCCTGCACTGGAGAGCAGGCCTGGGCTTAGAGATAGCTTTCTGACCTTCCGGCTCAAATCCCCTCCCTAGAACTCTGGCCACAGGACCCACTCACCGTAAAGGACCAGAGTGGCGAAGACCAGAAAGCTCAGCATGTTGCCTATGAAATAGACCACTGCCCCTCACTTACCATGAACCAAGCCCTCTTTATATTCCTCTTATCAGCAGCTTTGCTGACCTTCCTCCTACCAGCTGGCAGGGCTGTGGGTGGAAGGCAGGGAAAATCACAGGTGACATGGAAATACAAATGAAAATATTTCTTTTCAGGTAAACTAATTTATCCGTTCAAAGACAGAACAAGGTCAGGGCTGAATTAATCACCTGCTTACTAAAGCATCTAAAAAACTAAAAAAAAATGTTTGTTTATTTTTAGAGAGAGGGGAAGTGAGGGAGAAAGAGAAGGAAACTTGATGTTGAAACATCAATTGGTTGCCTTTCACGTGCCCCCCACTGGGGGCCTGCCCTGCAACACAAGCATGTGCCCCGACTGGGAATCAAACCAGCAGCCTTTTGATTTGCAGTATGAAGCAAATCAACTGAGCCACACAAGTCAGGGCTTCAACAAACTTTTTTCTAGAAATAAGATGGAGCATCAGGACTGGTTTTTCTCTGAGGGTGTTCCCCTCATAGTCTGTCCCTGTCTCGCTGTCTTCAGTGGCGCTACAAGCACAGGGACATCCTGTGCACTGGGAGGTGGGGGCAAAGGAGACTGCAGGAGGGGAGCGTGGTTGGCAAAGGGAAGGAAGAGGCAGCAACACCTCCCTGTGCAAAGAGGGAGGTGGGACATGCATGTTCGCCTGCCCACACGCAGATGCGGGTGGAAATGCAGGGAGGCCGCAGCAAAGCAGGTGCTGTGGAGAGAACACTTGTGGAAGAGGATACTAAGAAACAGCTTTGGGGAGACAAGATGGAGAGCCAAAAAGAGACCTCCCAGAGAAGAATGTGGGGAGGGTTGGAAGAGGGAGCTCTCGAAATAGGGAGATAAGTCGAGGGTTATGGCTGTAGAGGGCAGGGGGAGCAGATGTGAAGAGCGGGCACATCCTGCAGGAGGTGAAAGGCTTCATCAGAGTCGGTAGAAGAGGGAAGAGGGAACTGCATTGTGCCTGGAGGTAGGCAGTGGATTGGGTCGGGAGGTCCCGGAGCAGCGGACTGTGGGGGGAGTGGCGATTTAGGCAGAGGGAAGCCAGGAAGCTCGGAAGCCTAGAGGGAAGCAGCAAAGTCACCAGGTTCCTAGGACTCCAGAACTCAAGTGCTCATGCCTGCAGGTTCAGGGGAGGCCTGGAAAAGCTGTTAGAAGTTCTGTACAAACGGTCGCCTCTTCAGGTCCTTGAGCTATTCAGGAGAATTGCACCATGATGCTCTGGTAACCTGGAGGCAGAACTTGGGGAGGAGGGCGAGCTGGGCTGGAGAACCGGGGCCTCTTTTGTATTCTCCTGTCACGTCCCGCCCCTTCCCTTCGAGAGTGAGGAGACAGCTTGAGCCCCAGGGCGAGGAGTTTAAGAGAAGGCTTTCAGCAGAGGTGTCCAGCCTTTTGGCATCTCTGTGCCACACTGGAAGAAGAGGAGTTGTCTTGGGTCACACATTAAATACATCACAACAAGTAATAACAAAAAAAAATCTCTCGATAAGTATAATTACCATCTTGTGTTGGGCCTCATTCACAGCCTTCCTCGGCTGCATGTGGCCCACAGGCTGCAGGCTGGACACCCCTGCAAGTTAGGGCCTCCCCAGTGGGGGGTAACCTGAAGGTTACCCCTTAACATCGCATACCCCAAAGTGAACCTTTAAGGACAGGGCCAGTATCACGTCCGTCTCTGTACCCATGGCCTAGCCCAGAGAAGTCCAGACCAGTCTTTTTATTAACTTAAAACACCAAACTTTTTAGGACCGCATTTAACACCCTCACAATCAGTACCTAATCTGCATGCTCTGCATCATCTCCCACACTGGTCACACTCTTTTTCATTCTTACTATTAGGGGTAGGCATAGTGGCTTTGGCTTAAGTTTAAAATTTTAAAAATGTTTTTTTTAAATTATAGTCGACATTCAATGTTATATTAGTTTCAGGTGCACAGCATAGTAGTTAGACATTTAGATAACTTTAGAAGTGATCCCCCAGCCCTGGCTGGTGTGGCTCCGTTGGTTGGAGCATTGTCCTGTAAACCGACGCAGTGCGAGTTCAATTCCTGGTCTGGGCCGGTGTCTGAGTTGTGGGTGCGTAGGAGAGGCGACTGATCAATGTTTCTCTCTCATCCGTGTTTCTCTCTCCTCTCTCTACCTTCCCCTCTCTCTAAAATCAACAAGCAGGTCTTTGGGTGAGGAGTTTTTTAAAGAAGTGATTCCCCAGATAAACCTTGCACCCGCCTGACACCACACACAGTCATTATGGTATCAGTGACCGTGTTCCCTGTGCTGTACTTACATCCTGTGACTGTTTTGTAAACGCCAATTTGTGCTTCTTAATCCCTTCAGCTTTTCCACCCAGCCCCCAACCCCAGTCCCGTCTGGCAACCGTTCATTTGTTCTCCGTATCTATGAGTTTATTTCTGTTTAATTTGTTAATTTCTTTTGGTTTTAGATTAAACATATAAGTGAAATCATATGGTGTCGTCTTCCACAGTCTGACTTACTTCACTTGGCACAGCTCCCTCTGGGCCCATCCGTGTTGGCACAGTGGCGAGACCTCATTCCCTTTCATCATTGCCAGGCAGTATTTCATTGTATCTGTGTACCACTTCTTTGTCCGTTCTTCTTTTGATTGGAGCATGCAATCCATTTACATTTAAAGTAATTATCGATAGGTATGTACTTACTGCCACTTTATTTGTTGTTTTCTGCTTGTTTTTGTAATCCTCTATTCCTTCCTTACGTTCTTACACAGTGATGACTTTCTGTGGTGTTGTGTTTGGATTCCTTTGTCTCTATTTCTTGCAAATCTCTTGTAGATTTTTTTGTTTGTGGTTGCCATGTGCTTTTTATATATACACCAGGCTATGTTTATGGTAGTATATTTTAAGATCATGGTCACTTAAGTTTGAATACATTCTAAAATCACTGCCATTTTTACTCAAGCCCTCCGTGTTTATATTTTTGTCATCAGTTTTTTTAACTTCTTTTGTGTGTGTTTGCAGTTATGTGTGATCTTCCAACTTTTGTCTTTTAACCTTTGTACTCCCTTTAGTGTTGGTTGATCCACTGCTTTTGTCAGAATTCTTTCTTTTGTAAAAAAAGTATTTTTAGTGATATCTTTTAATATTACTTCTGTTCTATTCATTCATTTTTAACAATTCTACTTATTTATTTTTAGAGGGAGGGGAAAAGAAAGAGAAAGAGAGGGAAAGAAACATCAGTGTGTGGTTGCCTCTCACACTCCTCCTTTTGGGGACCTGGCCCTCAATTCAGGCATGTGCCATGAGTGGGAATTGAACCAGTGACCCTTTAGTTTGCAGTCCAGTGCTCAATCCACTGAGCCACACCAGTCAGGGGCCTTATTTCTTTCTTATCCTTTTTCCTGTCTGCTGTTCTGAGTAGGTGTTTTTGTCTACACTGCCTTCCAAATCGCCAGTTTGATTCTCTGCGTCATCCAATCTGATGTTAATTCTATCTAATGTAGTCTTCATTTCAGTTATTGTATTCTTCATTTGTGACTGGTTCTTTTATATGGTTTTTATCCTCTTTTTACTTTATTTTTAAAAAATTTTTTTAAAGGATATACATTTTTTAAAAGATTTTATTCATTTATCTTTAGAGGGGAAGGGAAGGAGAGAGGGAGAGAAACATCAATGTATGGTTGCCTCTCATGTGTCCCCTGCTGGGAACTGGCCTACAACCCAGGCATGTGCCCTGACTGGGAATCGAACCTCGATCTTTCGGTTCCCAGGCCCACGCTCAATCCGCTGAGCTACACCAGCCAGGGCTTTATCTCCTTTTTAGGTTTACTATCTCTTTGTTGAAGTTCTCACCGAGACAATTGGTTCTTCACCTAAGTTCGTCAAGTATCCTTATAACCAGTGTTTTGAACTCTGCGTGTGCTAGCCTGCCTTTCAGAGGACCCCTGGGTCTGTAGCTGCCCTGTGTGTCCCCAGGCCTGGCCCCTGCTGATTTTCACGCCAGCTGTGCTGAGGACTCCTCTTTCCAGCACTGGCGACCTGGGCTGGGGAGCCTGGGGTGGCGCTGGAGCCCTTGCTCCTCAGTGGGGGGCTCCACAGTGGGGTTTCCCTGACAGTTTTAATGGCCACATATGGGCGCAGGACCAGATCTCCACCCTTCCTGTTAGTCTCCTAGCACATTCTTCTTCTCTGTGTTTTTAGTTACAGGAGTCCTGTTCAGCTAGTCTCCAGGTGATTCAGGTGGTTGCTCTATAATTTAGTCATAATCTACGTGGCCATGGAAGGAGGCAAGCACAGCATCTGCCTGCTCCACCATCTTGACCAGAAGTCTGGCTTAACTTTCAAGGGACGGCATTTCTTCTGACTAAGCAATTCTAGGAATGCATCCTTTTGAAATGAACACAAGCATAAAAATAAAGTACAAGAATGTGGGCTACAGTATAGTTTGTCACAAAAATTTGATGCAAAATTGGGGGAAATCTAAGTGTTCATCAATAAGGGAAGGTGCAAGAAATTGGATTTAACCACGTTTTGGAATACTATGCAGCTTTTACAAAGAATGAGTTAGATTTAAATAAACTGACATGAAAAGATGTCCTTGATATATTAAATATCAAGGACAGTTGGCTGGGCAACATCCCATAAAGCAAAAGGTCTCCAATTTGATTCCCGACCAGGGCACACGCCTGGGTTGCAGGTTTGGTTCCCAACTCGGGTGCGTACGAGAGGCAGCCAATTGGTGTTTGTCTCTCACACTGGTGTTTCTTTTCCTCTCTTCCTCCCCCCTTCTCTCTCTCTCTAAAAGTAAACAAATAAAATCTTTTAGCAAAGAAATCAAGTCGCAAACAATGTGGTGTTGTGTACATGCGTATTTGTAGATTCGCTGAAGAACAGCATGGGAGTGGTTACACTAAGCTGTGAAGTCATCACATCTAGAGAACTAATCAATAGGTATGACAGCATCATGAAGATAAATTTCCCTATTTAAACTCACATTTTTCTGTATTCTCTACAGAATTACTTTGTAATTAAAAATAAGTAAATAACACATTCTGGGGCAGTTAGCTATTTTTGGCAATGGCACCAGTACTTCTCAGTGGGGACTAGATCCCCACAGGGGAGCACCCATTTAGTGCTAAGAAAGGTGAGAGTCCTCTAGAGCCAGGGGACAGCAGCGCAGGGCTGGCATCGAAGTTTGAAGGTTTCGGGTCGGCTGAGCGGTCAGAAGGGAGGATGGTAAGGAAGAGTGCAGCTGTCAGGCCAGGGCAGGGCCCGCGCTGGCTAGAGAGAGGCCGTGAGGCTGGGTGCACGAGCCTTCCCGCCACCTGTCAGTGCTCTCTCCCTCCTCTTCACTGCCTCCCTTCCCCAGTCCTGCCTCGCCCCCAAGCCTGGGCCTGCTCCGTAGGCCTGTCGTGTGGTCTTTTCTCTCTTCCGCTGCATCTCTCACTTCCTGTGAGTTACTCTGAACTGACTGCCCCTGAGAGAGGCTGTGCTGCTTTGGGGCGGGGGTGAGGAATCACATCAGGGCACCTTGGTTGGGCATGTATCGTAAGAGTGGGCTGGAGAGCTGTCGGGTGATGTCATAGACTGCGTGAGAGATACTGGGATAAATAGCAAATACTGCCTGACAAACAACTGGATGTTTAATGCAACCAAGAGTAGGGCTAGGATTAGAGTTGGGAACGGTGGCTCCTTATGGCTCAGCTGACTTATTGGCGTGACATTCAAGGCCTTTTTGACGGGGCCCCGTGCCCCTGTCGTATGGGGCTGACTTACCCCGCAGGCACAGTGGGCACAGTGGGCACAGTGCCCAGGGCCCATGACACTTCCAGGGGCCCACAAAAATGTTTTAGTTCCTTTTAAAATCAGAAGAAATAAGATGAATCCACCAGTCTGGATTATAGTCATCTTTATACCAATGCAATTATAAAACATAATTTTAAATATATTTTATGAAGGCACAGGTGCCCCTGAAGGCCACACTGTGGTTTTGATCTTCCAGCTCCTACCCCCTCTGCTCCCTCACCCTGACGTCCTCTCGGCTCCCCAGATCCCCTTGTGCCTTTGTCCTTCCGTGACTCTTCTCATGCTAGATCGTTTCTTGTCTGAGGTCTTTGCTTATTGAACCCTTCCCACCTGAGGACTCATCCTTTGAGGGCTCAAGTCAAATGTCACCACCTTCGAAGGCCTTCCCTGATCCCCTGAAGGGGAAGGAATTGTTCTGACTCAGCCAGCACATCTCTGAATTCTGTGACATGCTTGCACCTCTGCCTCCCCAGCTGGAGTGTGAGCTCCAGGGGGAAGGGCCTCATTCTACAACTGCTCACGTCTACACGGAGGCTCAGCTGGGGGCCAGGGGATGTTGGGGAACAAGAGCCAGTGGCTGTGATGGAACTTTTCAGATGCGTGTAGTTCTTTGCAGCCTGAATCAGTTGGTTCTCCAAAAGTATCTGCTAAGGAACAATAAAGGGTGAAGGACAATCCAATGCCAGTGTCATTAAACCTTTATTTCCTTGAGGATCTCATGTCCAACTCTCTTCTCTTTCAGGAGAAGACCTTTCCCCAGCCCCCTTTCCCACTCCAGGCCACATCCTGGGAGAGGCTATGCCCTGCCTTCCCCCTTTGGGTGGGCTGCTCCAAAGTGTTTCCTCTACCGGGCTCTTCAGGGAGCTTAGGAGACCTGCGGTAATGAGCCGCTGGGAAGGAGAGGCAGCTGTGGTCCCATGGCGCCCTCACGTGGCTGTGCCTGAGATGACAGCCTGCTACTGAAAGACCTGGAAGGACTTGTGTCTGGGTTTGTGGAGTCCAACTTGCTGGGAAAAGAGCTGACAGGCATTGTCAGGAGTGGTCCACGTGGGGACTTCATGTGAGTACAGCAGACAAGGCCGGTCAGGCAGTCACGTGTGAGTTTACACGTCCCTGATTCCTCAGACTTCCCAAGGCTCTCGTGGGCCTTCTCTGGGCCCTCCCCCAGGGCTGCCAGTGCCTTGCTGTGTGGCCTTGGGCAAATTACTTCACTTATTTGCCCTCAGTTTTATAATAGGAAAGTGATAAGCCTGGGCTAAAATGACAGTTTTCAAAGTGTCTTAGAGAACTTTAGAAGTTCAGGGGCTGACGGGCACTGCTCTCCTCCACCCTCAGTTTCACCCAGGGCTGCTCCCCCCTTTGTCACATTATACATGGGGCGTTAAAAAAAGGGTTCAGGGACTTAAACCTGAGAACCACTGGCTCCATGAGCGTTACGCTCTCCCTCCTGGCTGCCCGGCTCCACTGTTCTAAGCTTTATGGAGACCAGCCAGCCAGACATGACCGGAAGGGAGAGAAGAGAGAATGGGCAGGCTGGTGGCTAGTGTTTAGTGTTCGTGTGTTGTGGTGGAAGGCGCCCTGGCGCCGTGTTCAAGCCCCGGTCTTGGCTGCAGCCCTCCACCAGCTGTGAGGCTACAGAGAACCTCCTTCACCCCTCTCTCTGCCTCAGCTTCCTTATCCGTAAGGTGGGCATGCCGGTTCCTGTCCTGCCCTTCTCACGGAGTTATCGTCAGACGAAGTAAGACAAAGGATTCCTGTCAGGGCACTTTCCATAAACGGCTCTACAGACTTGGGGTACGATAAGCAAAGGAGATGCTCTTAGGCCCCCAACAGAGGCATCTCTGTTAGCGTGTCACCGGATTCTGTGGGTGTGCGAGTGACCAGGATGCAGGGTGTGGCTGCAGGAGTCCTGTCTTGAACTCGGCATTGCTGCCTGGGACCCTGCCCCGGGAGCCCTCTCTGCTTGGGGAGTCTCTGTATCCAGGACAGAAGGAAAGCTCCGGGCCAGGCGTTACGTGCTCTCACGGTCGCTTCCGTCAGCGTAAAGAACACGGGCCCCACGTTGCTGCAAGGAGTAGGAGGTCCTGCCTCAACGTCCAAAGTTAGGTTTGGAGCTCCATCTTTAAGGCCTACAGAGAAGCTGAGGAGTGGGTTCCCAAATACCAGGGTCCCCAAAACCCTGTTTCCTGAGAGGCTTGTGGGAACCCCCTCCGGGGGTGATCTGCGGCCTAGATGAAGAGCCAGTGCTGGTGGGGGTCGCTGGGATTGCAGGAGGCCATGACGGGCTTTTTGTCCTTGGCCGCCAGGCAGGTACCAGATCCTGAATTCCTGACGAGCTGGCCCTAGAAGGTGACACAGCAAACAGTCAGCCCGGCCTCGGCCCTGTAACGGTGCTACTAGATCATGCCTGTAGTAACTCTGACGGGATGCGTTCCTGACTTTCCGCTGTGTCTGGTGCCCGCCGCCCACCCCCAGCTTCAGCCTGAATGGTTGGAATAGAGGAGGGACCTCGAGCTGACTGAAAAATGCTCTCAGGGCTTGCCTCCTCCCCATGCCGGTCTTAAAGACCCGGCCGCGGCTGCCTACCTCCCCTTTCGCCTCCTCCCCTATCTACTCCTCCCTTCCCTGTAGCCCCAAGGTTAGGCTCCTCTGCCCCTGAGCCAGCACTGGTGCTTCGGGTAGAGGAGCGTGTAGAGATTCATGGGGTGGGGGCGCCTAGTTTGGGCTCAGCACTGTAGAAGCTACATTAGAAATGCCAAGGCAGCGTGCTGTAATGGAAAGAATCTACACTTTCAAGTCTGACTTCTCCGGGTTTGAATCTCAGGCCTGCCATTTATTAGTTATGGGCCTTGACGGGTCTGGGTCCGTCGCAAACATGCTGAGCCTCAGTGGGCTTAGCTGTGGAAATGGGACGCTGCCTACTTGGGAAGAGCCTCTGAAATATTAGAAACCCACGTGTGTGAGTGCGCAGCTCTGTGCCAGGCACGCACAGTCCGGGCGGGAACCTTGAGTGAGTCTTCATGTTTTGTCACGTAGGCTCAGTCTAAAAATGTTTGAGCTACAACACAGCTGGCCACAGACTGTAACCCCTAACCCTGTCTTTATGTCAGCCGGAACCGGCCATCACCAAACATTTCTTAAGCCCCAGGAATCCCGCCTGTGACCAAGCCCACACTCACCACGCTTCCTACATTGCGCGGATCCAGCCCCTGGTATCTCAGGCATAAGACGTAAAAAGTGAGGAGGGGACAGCGGTGACCTTAGGTTCTTGATACTGAGCTTTTGGGGCTGACTTACCTGGGTCAATTCCCATTCCTCGTCCTTAGGGACTTGGCTGTTTTTGCCAGTGAATTGACAGCTCCGAAGGCCCAGAGCGCCAGCGCTGGCGTGTAGACACAGCTGCTTTGCAATGTTGTGGCGAAGGTCTCTCTGGGTTGTGTACTCAAAGTACTAGAAGTCAAGGTAGGGAGGAGGTCTCAGGGGCAGGCAGAGTTTGCCTGCCACCTTCCAAAGCCGCCCGCCGTGAGATGCCGACCACGGGGCCTCCCGGGGAGGCAGCTGAGCGGGTGACGGGACGTCAGCAATTCACGTGTGACCTTTGGGGTTTTTTAGAGTGGTGTCTGGATTATACTAGAATGCTAGTTACTTACTATGTTTTATTTAGTTAAAATTTTAACTTAGCTTCATTTTCAACATTGTGAAGTCAGGTGTTTGATATGCTAGTTCTTTTTTTGCTAATGGATTACTAGGAAAAGGAAAAGGTTCAACAGTGCACCACCTGAAATCATTGCGCAGGCTGGTGGTACAGGGAATTGCTTTAGAATCACACACACACACACACACACACACACACACACACACACACACACAGCTTCAGTTGCGGTTCCAGTGCTTCTTCCATACCAAACGCTGGGCATTCAGGGCAGACTGAGGGACTGGGGTCAGGGCGGGGGTTACTAGCTACTCCTCAGGAAGAGCTGGGCATTGTGGGGCATGGAGTAGATTTTCAGGGTACCAGATGACTGAGCTGTCCAGAGGCGGTGGCTTTGGGGTGACCTTTGGGTGGTAGGATGCGTGGTATTTTGTGGGCAGAGGAGGCACTGAAGGCAGAGCTGTGTGCAGGTGAGGGAAGGTGCTCAAAAGCTCCCCACGCTCCCCAGCATCACTTAGGGTGTGGCGCCCTCCAGCGAGGGAGCTCACCCCCGACCCTGGTGAGCAACCCCGCACCCCCACCCCAATCCAGCACCCGGCACTGATGCCCAGCGCCCTCCGGGCGTTCCCGATCCAGAATTCACATCTTGTCTCTGCTTCACGCACTCTTCCTCAGACTGGGAGCTTTCTGAGGGTGGGGATGGCGTCTCCTCTTCTCTCTGGATGTCCCCCACCCTCGACCTTAGGGAAGGACTGTTTTCAGTGGAGAGAGGGGCTCGTTAAGGGAGGAGAGGCCCAGGGACAGGCCTCTCTTGGGCCTGCCCCCCGGAGGGCTGGGCTCCGTACCTGGTTGCCGCCGAGGCCGTGGCAGGGGTACATGATGAGGGGCTTCCCGCCACGGTTGTTCTCACCCACGTCCAGGCACTGATTGATGCCAAGGTTCTTTATCTGCAGAACAGTGAGCAGGGAGGGGAACCAGGAGAGCACAGTCGGGGGTTCTGCAGTCCGTGGTATCGGGCCCAGACTGCAGTAAATTTGCATGACTAGATTGCTCCTCCGATTCTTCTCCTCATCAACCCAGATGCCTGGAGTTAGTATCACAGGGAGATGCGGAGCCCGGAGGCCGGGCCAGGGCCGGCCGGGCCACCTCCCAGGCCGCCAGGTCCCTGGGAGAAGCCCTCGCACGTGGGGACTTCCTTGTGAGTGCGGGCTCTCGGTGCGCTTCCCCGGACCGCCAGCCCCCGACCTGGGAACTTATCAGAAAAGGCGGACGTCCAGGCTCCTCCCCAGTCCTAGCGCATCAGCAGCCTGTGGTGGAACACTCCCTCCCAGTGACTCTAGTGCAGGTGAGTGAGAAGCACTGCTTCTGGGTTTTCTCTCATAAGGATTTCCTCTACCTCTGCAAGCCCCGGAGTCTTCCCTCTGGAGAGGGGAGTGTGGGGAGTGTAACTAAATCCTTGTTTGTTATCTCCGTGGGGTGGGTGGTCCTGAGCTTCTCCAGGGGACTCTGAGGATGGTTCTCAAGACTCACGGCTCCGTAGAAGGTGGGCTTCAGGTCAGGAACGAACATCTCTGGGTAGATATTGTGCAGGTACCAGGAAAAGTTGCGACAGTGTAGTTGTTCCCTCAGCTGCAGTCGTTCAGAGATGTCACCGAAGGATTTCTGTCAACGAAGCCAGCCCCGTAAAGGTCAGTTCCTCTAGCCTTGACCTTCTCGTCTGGGTGGCAGCAGTCGAGTTCCCGGGGTCACTGTCTCCCAGCATGGGTCTCGGGCTCATTCCTGCTCAGGACCTCCAGGAGCCACTGGCCCAGTCTCACATCTAATCCCAAAGCCCGTCTTGGCTTCGGGCCCCCCACCCGCAGCCCCCTCACTCCCTCCTCTCCTGTCACTTCCCAGATTCCTCGCAGCCCCAGTCCGAGCCTCTCAGAGTAAAGCCAGTGCTCCTGGAAGAGGACTCCTAAAGGACGCTGGAGTGTCCTTCCCTCCTGAAGGATCCTGGGGCTCTCCGGGCAGGGACAGCAAAGGCTCCTCCCCTCCTTCTCTCACTTCCCTGGGCTCTAGCGCATGGGTCTCGTCTTGTAAAGAGAAGACTCAGTGGTAGCGATGGGGGGCCTCTACCGTCCAGCCCTCGGCCAGGATCTGGGATGCTGCACTTCTCTGCATCCAGACGCCTCCTGAGCACCATTCCCTCTCACCTCTTGGGCCATCTTTGCTGCCTGTATATTTCTCCGGTAGAAAATCTCCTTGTAGTTATCCATCCAGACCTCAGCCAGGCGCACTTGGTTGCGAGCAATGACATTGGTGCCCTTGGGAAAGGTGTGGGGGCTTTTGGTGCGGAACACGTGGCCGACCACAGAGCAGGGGACGATCTCCAGCTGGCCCCCACACTGCCACACCTGCCGGAGAGGAGACAGCACGGGCCGCAGTCAGGGGCTGGTTGCAGTGATCTCCCCCCAAGTATCTCCGCTCTGTTCCCAGGGCCCCAGACCCCAGGTCCGAGAACTCAGGGCAATGCTGCTTTCTCTCCTGGAAAAAGGGACAGTGACCAGGCTTCTCCCTGGGCCATGACGGCACTCTCCTGAGCTCTAAACTGCTTCACTCTGATTTAAGCAAACAGAAGTTTGCAGGGTCCACAGGGCTTCCAGGGCCCACGTTAGAGAAAAGACAGTTTGTCTAACTTGTGTCCGTGTACCTCCTTCGAGCTCTGGTCACTTGGCTTTTTGGCCTGAAAATGTGATTTTATCAGCTCCCCCAGGTGTTACTGGAAACTCAGCATCAGCGTATTAATCATTAATCAAGGACAATCACCTGCCAGGTGACCCGTGCGTCACCTGTAGCACACGAGCTTCCCAGGAGAGAGACTGAAGAGAGGTCAGAGCCCCACGGCGGAGCCTGGGACCAGAGCCCTGGGAGTTACGTGAGTGGCCACCTTTCCGCAGGAGCTCTCGCGCCTGCGCTGCTCTGCTAGGGTTTCCATTGGGAGGAAGGCTGTTCACCTTAGTGTAGCAGCAACAGAAACACATCGCCACAGTAGCAGCAAGTATTAAAGACGTGCTCGGCGTGTCCCAGGCACTGTGAGAGGTGACTTCATAAACGAGCTCGTTTACTTATTGATTACCCCTCCACTGGCGTGGGAACCGGTGCAGATTTCACGAGGCAATCCTTCCTTCCTGACCTAACCCTGACTTGTCTGATTGCTGGAGTCCCTCAGACTTCTGGGTCCACCAGCATCCGGGCCACCACCTTCTCCTCCAGTATGACGAGCTTTCTGAGCACAGGGTTAGGAGGCTCTAGAGACTACCAGGGCCCGTGTCCTCTGACCTGGAAAGGGGACCCTGATGTTTCTAGGAAAGGGGTAGTGACTGCTTACTCATCTGTCCCAGGGGCCTCTACCATTAAGCCCTTGATCCGGCTCTAATCCTGTCCCACAGACACCATGACAGATGTCACTGGCCCCCAGACGTCCTGTTTCTGTCACCACCATCCCTTCTCTCTGAGGAGTTCCGCCCGGTGACTTGTTTCTCGCTGCCCAGCCTGACCCCCAAAGCCCTCCTGCCAGGGACCGGAGGGGAGTGGAGGGGAAGCGCAGTCACGGCAGGAAGCAGCCACCTTGCCAGCTCAGTTCCAGACGCGACACCTCTGCTGCCCGAGAGGTTCTCAGGCTGTGCCCCGGGACGTGGCGGTTCCCCCCTGGAAGCCCTCTTCACTCTCACCCGGAAGGACATTTCCACGTTCTCCCCTCCCCAGATCTCCATCTGATTATCATAGGTACCGATGTGCTCAAAGTAGGACTTGGAGATGGAGAAGAGGCCACCAGCAAACGTCGGGGATCTGGAGAGACAGAGGGAGAAGCATGTGTGTCTTCTGGGGGAGCAGGCGTGGGAGCCTGGCCTGGAACGGCGTGGACGCCCCCTAACCGACCCCGGCCCCTCTCCCGGGATGTGCAGCCTTTCTTCCACAAACCTGTTCATTTAGCAAAAGTTCACGGAGCTTTTACTATGTCTTCTTTACCTTCTGGGAATCACGTCCAGGAGAGTTGTAATTTTCGTGACTCTCGCCTAAAAGGTACCCATTCATTTGTTCAACCAAGGATGTATTAACTACCAGCCACCAGGGCCTGGGTGAGGCATACAGAGCTAGGACGACAGACCCCACCCCCTGGGAGCTCAGGCTGCTGGCTGAGGGGAAAGCTGCACCGTTTGTTTGCTTTTGGGCAGCAAAGCTCCTAGAGCATAGTAGACACTTGGTTATTGGAAACTATGTGAAATTATTTTTGGAAATAGGATTCAAACCATGAGTGAGTGAATATGATGAGCTGGACCAGTCCCATTCTCTTTCAGGGTCCCTGGCCCTTTGGGGGACCCCGAAAGCTGTGGTTTTATTGAGTCCAGCCCCAGTGCTTAACACTGAATGAGCATTGGGAAAAATCTGCCAGCTGCTTTGAACAGAGGAAACTCTGGAAACAGAACAGGAAATGAGATGGCAAAAGCTCAACTTGTACCAAAAGGAACATTTGGAGGTGACAAAAAGGTTCTGGCTTCCAGACAAAAGCAGGGAGGCACAGACCCACATGAAGATAAAATGACAAAAACATCTCATTCCTAGAATTTAGATTCCGTGTTGCCCATGGGTGGGGGCCAGTGCTTGGGCTAAGGGCTGAGGTGTGGGCAGGGGCTGGGGGAGCCTGGGGCCCTCTACCAGGTACTGAATCAGCTGTGCCTGAGCAGGCTCGCTGGGATGGGGCTTTGCTGCCCCCTGGTGTTGCTTCCTCTTGTAGTACAGATAGGCAGAAAGATACCATCTCTGTAAGCCCGGAACCCACCACAGCAGGGGCGCCCATCAGAGTCATTGGAATCACCTGTCAAAGTGACGACACAGGCGCTCGGCCTTGCTGTTAACCTTGTGGCTGCCCTTGCGCCCTGAAGTTGGCTCCTGCAGCTGCTTTCTGGAGGAAACTTCAGTTGGGAAACCCTCATGCTCACGCAGGCCTGCTGTCGCTGGTTCTGACCCAGAGGTTCCAAACCAGCCCAAGGAAGTCCCAGGAAGGCTCAGAAAGTCCTGGGCCTCCAGATGAGCACTTCAGACCTAACCGACTTCTTCCTGAGGGTCTCCCTGACTTGGTCCTGACCCTCGGCTTTGAGAGGTCTCTCTGACCCAGAAGCCACTGACAAATTACCCTCTGAGGACACAGGGAACCTCATTGCAGACCCACAACCAACAGGCAACACCCTGTACTTCCTGGCCTACTTCTTAGGATCCTCTGCGTCCTTGACCTCCCTCGCCTCTCAGCCTCCTTAGCGTTCCGAGTGGAGGGAAGGGTGCTGCCTGCAGCCTGCCGGGGGGTCCTGTGCACAGTGCTGAGGGCAAGCCGTGCATGCCACCAGGGAACAAAGTCATTGCTCAAACACTGGGGCTTTATCTCCCAGCTGTAAGGTCCTTGGACAGTGGAGTCCGGGATGTCAGTGATGGGTGGTGGCCAGGTGCCCTGTCCCCGATTGTGCCACTGAGTGCCTGGCCCCCAGCTTGGGCGAGGGGGGCTTTATTGCCATATACACCAAACAAAAGACATCTGTGAAACAGGCAGATGGCTAACAGCTCTCCTTTCTTTTCTCCCTCCTGCCCTCTCCCCTCTCCCCTTTCTGCTGCTTCTCCTCCTCATGGAGACAGCGCCGTGGGCTGTTCAGGGTTCATGGGGTTACTGCTGCAGCACCCACCTGAGACCTCTCCACTGGACTCTGGACGGCATGTTTTTAGGATCTTGGCATGTGGAAGGGGAAGAACTCCCAAGCTCTCTTCCTTTCAGGCCTTCCCTCTAATCTCTGCTCACCGTGTCCCCTACCTCTGCTTCCCTCCACCCCAGCTATATATTCATTTGACCCTGAGGTTTCCTGGCCAGTATAGGGAAACAGTGGTAGATAATAACAGGCTACTCTAAAAGTCACTCCCCAACTCAGCGTGGCAGAGACATTTGTTAAAATGAACTTTTCATCTCCAGCAGCACCGGCAGGCAATCGGAGAGGGAAAGGCAGCGTAGCTGTATGGGGGCGGGTAACCTAGGTGGGCATGAAACACTGGGTAAGCTGCCACACAGCCACCAGATAGCTTAAGGGTTGACAAACTACGGCCCAGGGGCCAAATCTGGCCTGGCCTCATTCTTAGCCCCGTGAGGCTCTGGGGCTAAGAATGGCTTTTACATTTTTAAAGGATTGTTTAAAAGAAACATAAACAGCCCTGGCTGGTGTGGCTCAGTGGATTGAGTGCCAGCCTATGAATCAAAGGGTCTCTGGTTCAATTCCCAGTCAAGGCACATGCCTGAGTTGCAGGCTGGGCCCCCAGTAGGGGGCATGCAAGAGGCAACCACACGTTTCTCTCCCTTTCTCCCCCTTCCCCGTCTCTAAAAATCTTTTTAAAAAACAAACAAACCCACAAACAAGGGATATTTTGCAACAGACTGTATGTAGCTGGCAAACCTGAAATATTTACTATCTGGCCCTTCACCAGGAACGTTCGGGACAACTGCGACAAGCTGAAAACTGCAGAACACTTGTCTATATTCTTTAATGTTTTCAGTCTTTTCCAGGAGAGCAACCTGGGAGCACCCGCCACCCCACCTTACTACAATGGCTCCCCAAGGATGGCTACTCCCCACTACGTCTCAGCACCTCTGCAAGCGCCAGTCGCGGCCTTCTGTGTGTAAGGAAGAAGAGATGGCATGAAGCGTGTAAAGCCCTCAGTCCAGTGCCTGGCACACAGTGAGTGGCAGATAAAAGCAAGCAGTCTGGTGCCATGGTCAGGGGCAGAGGTGTGGGTCAGACTGGCCAGCACGGGTGCCCCTGCTCCATCCTTTGTTAGCTGCGTGATCTGAGGCCAGCTGTTTGTCACTAGGAACCTCAATGTTCCTACCTGTAAAACAGGCTAACCATAGGGGATAGAGAGTAAATAAAATATGTCAAGTGCTTGACAGAGCACCTAACAAACGTTCACCTGAGATGGCCCAGGTCCCCAGAACTGGTGGGTCTGAGACCATGGAGGCCAGCTCAGGGGCTCACCAGGCCGTGGTCCTTACTTGATTGGGTCGGTCTCATCCTTGCGCCTCTGCCTTTCATGTGCAGGCAGAGTCTCCCAGCCGAAGGTCAGGCTCCAGTCAAAGTTGCCCCGGCTATGGACTCTGCCCTTCTGGACGGGCTTGGAGAACTCAAAAGTGTTAAGGTCAATGGTGACAATGTCTGGGCTCACCACTGCTGTCTCGTCCTCGGTGATGCGAGCTAGGAGGGGCTCCAGCCAGCCATGGAAGCACTCACCTGCAGGCCAGAGCGGGAGACGGCTGTCAGGGCTCTGATGGCAGCTGAGCCCATGCCCCAGGCCAGGGGGGAGGATAAGAGAACTCTCCATTCATTTCCTAGCTGTAGGCGGAGAAACACAAGCAGGCTCCCCAGCTGTACAGATCACAGAGCCATCTCCTGAGAACCTCCTACCTTCCCCTCCCCCATCCAGAGATGCAGGCAGCTTTGGAGGGGAGAACGGAGGTCTCAGAGGAGCAACATGGTCCATTCAGATGACCCAGAAGCACAGGGAAGGCCCTGGGTGGGAATCTCCGGGTTTCCGGCCCATCCACTGAATCAGCCCTCCCTGCCCGAGCGCGGGTGCCCACACAGGTGTCCTCTTGCCCGGGAATATCTACCCCTCAAGCTCCAGCTCCGGTTGTAGACTAACAACCCCTTTCACTTGCTGGCCCTTTGAGATTTTCAGTGACACACACACGACTTAATTTGGCCCTCAGAGTAATAATTCTGTTGGTGAGTAAGGCTGGTATCCTCTCACCATCTGACAAATGACGAAACTGAGGCTTTGCTAGTGGCAGAGCCAGAACGGAAATCTGGGTCTTCTGACTCCCATGTCCCGGGCTTTCCCCCGCATGCATCCCTGCTCTTAGGGGAGTTACTTTTCCCTGACAATGTGGGAGGTTTTGTCTGTCTGGGGGAAGAGGGAGGCCTTCCCGGCTCCAGGTGGCCCCACAGGAAGAGCCCCACACAGATCAGTTCCAGTGGTAACTGGAGGCCTCTCTGGGGGCCGAGCTCAGAGCAAGTGCAGATCTGGGGGGACAGGAAAGTCTGGGGCTGCAGGGCTCACTCCCAGCAGTTGTGGGGCGACCACCTGTTTCAGGGTTGTGTGTGTGTCTGATAAGACGCCCTCGGGACTGGGGTGAGAAACGGTTAGGAAAAGCTGGGGCGAGTCCCAAGCTGCCTTCGCTCCTGGGACAGAGCAGGAAGGGGCCTCGGCCACAGCTCTCCATCCTGCCAGGGCGTGGGGCGGGGAGGGGGGACCCGAGCACACCCAGGTCCGCTCTCTCACTCACAGTGGGCGTCCAGGAAGGTGAGCACCTCGGCCTGCGCCACGCTGGCTCCCAGCAGGCGGGCCGTGATCAGCCCCTTCCGCTTCTCCTGCCGTACCACCCTCACGATCTGCAGCTGCTTCACGTACTGCTCCAGTTGCTCCTTTAAATGCTCTGGAAGGGACAGTGTCATTGTAGTCAGCTCACCACTTAGTTGCAAGCCTAATCCCCCGTGGGCACCAAGCCCTGGCGCTCTCAGGCCTCCAGCAGGCCTGAGTTTTTAACCCTCCCACACCAACCCGCAGGCACGCATGCACGGAGCAGTTCCGTGGAAGCTGATGGTGGGGGAAGGGGTGGAAGGAGGAAGGGGTGCAAGGAGGAAGTCCTGCATAGGGTCAAGCCCACCCTGCCAGGATGCTGGCCCTGCAGTGTCCATCCTGTGCCTGTTTGCCCACTGGGTACCTTCTCTAATGTCCACGACAGGATCTCAGGGTTGTGTTTCTTTGATCTAAAACCAAGCACGAACTTCCGAGAAAGGCTCTCAGAGGCCTCTCTCGGTCTCTGCGCCCTTTCAGCCACCATCTTTCAGAGCCGAGACTCGGGGCTCCTCTCCTTTCTGCACCCAGTTGTTCCTCAGTGTCCGGTTCCCTGCCTCCCTGGCTCCTCTAGACAAGTTTGCCAGGTAGGACACACAGGGGTTGATGTCTTACTTCCTGGGTCAGCGAGCAGCAAGCAGTCTTATTCTAATCTTCTTTATGACCTCCTCTGCATGTACAATTTTTTTTTGAAACAAAAAGATGCCAAGCAGCTTTTTAATTAAATTAAGAACATGTACCAAGTGCCTGCCATTGGCCGGGCAGTGGTGAGTCCAGCCATCCAGGGGACGGTGACCTGCCAGAGGTAGTGCAGGGCTGAGAGAGCCCGCAGGGGAAAAGCCGACCTGAATCTGGGGTGCAGAGGGCTTTCTGAAGGGGGGGGCGTCTCTGCTGAGCTCTCAGTCCCTCTGAGTGGGGGTTACTTCGCAGCCTTGTTATCCGGTGCAAACCCTCAGGGCACTGCAGATGCTACATTCTGAAACAGCCCATCCTGAAACACTCCAAAGCTCACTTATGTTGTATTAACTGCGATTCAGGTTTATCCATGTCACTGTTCTGTCCCTAACTGTGCAGAACGGAGTTGCCTGTAGTGTCAGAAGTGGAGGTGGAGGGCAGGTGTGACATTTGATTCAGTCCTTTCTCTTTTGAGCTGTGGATTGGCCTTGCTCAGACCTTGCTCCGAACACAGTCCTGTACAAACTGTGGGGCCTGGAATCAATTTGGGGTGGGGGTGATCTCTCTCTCTCTCTCTCTATCTCACACACACACACACATGCTATGCCCAAATATTGATACTTGAGCACCTACTACGTGCTCAGTCATTGAACTAGGTGCTTTCATGTTGACTTTCTTATTTAATATTCTCTATGAAAATTAAAACACTGAAATAGGGAATATTGTCCCCAAGGTTTATGTATTAAAAGTAGTCTCATTTGGCAGCCTCAGCCCAGCACTTGCTTAGTAAACACCTGCTTAGTAAACACCTGCTTACGCACTGCCCGGGTGCCAGATTCTACCCTGGCAGGGAGGGGCCGGTCTGGGTCCTGCCTTCAAGGAACTCCAGGACTCATAACCCAGTGGTATCCCCCAAGCGCTGGCTCTAACAGAAAGAAGGGAGGAGCCCAAACCAGGAGCCTCATCTTCTCAGTGTAGCTGATGTTTCCCCAGAGAACTCGCTTAACTGGGCTCACAGGAAGTTCAGGATGATGGAGACAACTCGGGGACAAAACATCACAGGAAGTGGGTTTTGTGGTAAGAGGCTGCAAAGCACCAAGCTGTGAACCTCAGGGGGGCCTGAGCTCTGCAAGGCCTTTCTCCCCCACCTTCCTCTAGGATCAGAGCCGAGCTTGGAGACACAGGGAACCCATCCGTACTCTCTTACGTCCCCTAGGCAATAAATAGCCTCCTCATTTAAGATGAACGCCCCACCACGCCAGCCTAGCTTCGTCCCCCAGGACCGGCGTCTGTAAGAGTCCTGTGACCTCCAACACACACACCTTACTCCGTCTCATCAACATGCAGACGGGCCTTCCAGGCCCCGCCTCCTTCACTCGGATGTCTAACAGAACCACAGACCAAACACGCCCGAAGGGGAACTCCAGGTTTCCTCCCACGCTGCACCCCCAGGCTGCCCCACGTCAGTGCGTCGTAGCCACGCCCCTCCAGCTGCTCTAACTGAGGCGTCGTGCCGGAGTCTCCCCTCTTCTCATCCTTTGCAGTCAGTCCATCAGCAAGTACGGCCGGTTTTTTCTCTCGGTCCCCCTGTCACCCCAGCAATAATGCCTTCGCTGGTCTCCTGGCCTTTATCCTACACCACTCTTCCCAATCTATTCTTGACACAGTGGCAGAGTTGTCTCGTAAAACGAAATCGGGACCTGGCCAGGCAGTTCAGTCGGGCTACAGCGTCATCCCAGTGGCACTAAGGTTGCAGGTTTGCTCTCCAGTCAAGGCACATACAAGAAGCAACCAAAGAATGCCTCAAATAGTGGAGCAACAAATCATTGTTTCTCTCTCTCTCAAATCAGTACATTAAAAAAATAACTAAATCAGATCACGTCACCACAGTGGTTTAAAGTTGCACCTGCCCTGACTGGTGAGGCCCAGTGGGTTGGGTGTCGTCCCACAAACCGAAAGATCGATTCCAGTCAGGGCCACGTGCCCAGGTCGCGGGCCAGGCTCCCAGGTTAGGGGCCTGCAGGAGGAGCCGGTCAGTGTTTCTCTCACACACTGAGGTTTCTTCCCCTCTGTCTCCCGCCCTCTCCCTTTCTCTAAAAATAAATGAATGACATCTTAAAGTTGCACTTAGAAAAAAATCCACACGGCATCATGGTTCCTCAAAAAATTAAACATAGTTGAATATTTGTGACTTCCACATAATAAAACCTATTATTTTAAAGGAAAAAAAGATATTAAACATAGAATTACCGCATGGTCCAGCCATGCCACTTCTGGTTATGTACCCCAAAAAAGGCGAGAGCATGAACTCAAATATTTGCACGCTGATGCCGACGGCATTATTCACAATAGCCAACGGTAGAAACAGTCCCCAGGACCATGGTACAGGCGAGTGGATACACAGATCCAGTTTATACAAACAACTAAACATTCAGTGAATGCAAAGTGCCCCCAAATGTCTCCTCCTGTGGGTTTCACACAGTGCACTCCCTCACTTCCGGCAGCCCCTTCTCTCCTTTCCTTTGCCTCCTACGGAGCCCTTTCCTGGCCCCGCCCCCCCTCACTCCTCCTCCCACCCTAAGGAACTTACTCACTGGGGTCCTGCTCCCTTCTCAGCTCTGCGGGTCCTGGGCATGTGTCTGATTTCCTCCCATCCATCCGGCAAATTCCCACAGGAGGGAGGGCTGGGCTCCGTCTCCCCCAGGGGCAGGGCAGGGCAGGGCTGTGGATGTGGATGTGCCCTTTTGGCAGCACAACAGACCGACAGGGGCCAGTTTTCAGAAGCCTGTGGCGTGCGCCCGACCAGGAGTAGACCTGGCCACTCAGGAGTGAAATCTGTGCCCAGGGTTCAGACCCTGAGGTAGGTAAGAAAAAGCTCCCCAGCCTGCCACTGGGCCTCCCCCACCCCAGCACCAGGCGTCCCCACACCCGTGGCCTCAGAGCACTGCCAAGTACCGGCTAGGAGGGCAGAGAGCACGGGCATTGCATTTCAGCAGAGACACAGCTCTGCCCTGTGTGTGTAATCAGAGCCAGTTAATCTGATCGAATGGTCAAATGTGTGGAAAATTTTACCCTGCTGTGGACTGCAGAGACTTCTGACCATGGAGCTGAGTTTCTCCCTCGTCCCCACAGAACTGAACGTTGCTGAAAGTATCTCAAGTGCCCGAAAGCCCTCCCGGTGGTGGTGTTTATCCTAGGACCCACCAAGTCCCTGGAATCACGGTGCAGAGATGCAGATGTGTGTGCACCTTGTTGTAGCAATTCTGCACTGTTCTCGGGAGACGGGCAAAGCTTTGAACAGATTCTCAAAGGAGGCCAGGACCCAGAAGACTAAGAATGATGCGTTCAGGATTTTCAGGCAGGTGAGTCCAAGATGCTGAAATTGGCCTTAAGAGAGAGCCCAGGAGACAACCAGAGAGGAGGCCTGCTAGGGGGAGGCACCCTGGAGGGCGTCTAGGGGCTGCTGCAAAGTCCACCCTGCTAGGCACTGGCTGTTTTCCCCTCAGATGCTGCCCGTGCCAGCCTGGCATTCCATCATTTGTCCGGTCTGGTCGGAGGAGTTGCCCAACTGGATATTGTATCTTATGGGCTCAAAGAATTCTGAGTGACAAGCAGAAACAGTTTGGACACAGGCGTGTCCAACCTTTTGGCATCTCTGCACCACACTGGAAAAAGAAGAGTTGCCTTGGGCCACACATTCAATACACCGTGACACGTAGTCAGAAAAAGAAATCTCCGTAATGTTTTAAGTAAGTTTACGATCTTGTGTTGGGCCGCATTCACAGCAGTCCTGGGCTGCACGCAGCTTGTGGGCCGCAGATTGTATGCCCCTTGGTAGAACTTTTGCCCCACGGGGTTCAAGAGGCGAAGCAGCAGAGGGCTGGGAAGCATAGGTTCGGGGGAGAGGGGTGACCGGAGAGCCCAGTTCGAGAGGAAGGGCAGCCAATATACTCGCTCCCCATTCCAAACAACCGTTCACTGCTACCAAGGCACAGCTCTCAAGCCCACCCCCTAAACTCTTTGCCCTTCCCTTTCCGGAAGCCTAATGTCATACTCTTCATCCACCAGATGCTCCGGACTCTGTCACTGCATCGGTGACACCCATTTGCCTCTGCTTTGTAAGTGCTGCTGGTGTCTGCCTGCCCTGGGGAAAGGTGAACTCACCACAGAAGTGGACTCGGCCATGCTCACACTCAGCTCCTCCTTCCACTGCCTTCCCCAGTCTTACTCCACTTAGCATGGCCCCTGATCTAGAGGAGGGGCCTGGGGGAAGGTCGGGAGCAGCGGCAGCTGTACTGCAGTGGCCGGGCGCACACTGGGAGGTGCGGTGCCGGTGTGCGGCTGCGTCGCTGTGGGAACATGGGCTGCGGAGGCCGACCTGGGAGAGCCCTACACACCAGGCACCGCCCAGGAGGGGTGCTCAGCTCCCGGAGACTCCGGGCCCTCAGCCCCTTTCCTGGGTCTGGCCCGTCATCCCGCTCTCAGGGGACTATAGGAACACGCCCCCCCTCCCCATCCAGACTCGGTCCCTGCCCCCAAACTGCCATCCCTCTGAGATGACGTCACTCTCCACCCAAAATATCTTCAATAACTGCTAATTTTTTTTCTAAATAAATACCTTCAGCACGACACAAGTTTCAATTCAACATCTTTTTTAGCGTCACTTTCTAAAACAAACCTAAGCTTCAGCCACATCGCACCTCTCAATTGCTCGCAAATGCACCCGTGTCTCCAGGACTATGTCTGCGCACGGTCTCTTCTGGGAACGCCTGTCAACCCTTCTTCTCTCCCCAGACACTGGCGCTTTCAGGCCCAGCGGCAATCTGTCCCCCACTGTGGGCCGTCCCAGCCGTGCTGGGTAGAAATAACGTCAACTGGCTACGCGCTGCTCCCACGCAAAGACTAAACTGAAGCTGATGCAAATGGAGCTGGACTCCATGCTAAGTACTCGGTGTCCCATGAATTGTCACCTGTCTCTGACCCCTTGTTCACCATGGGAGGGAGTCAACTGCCTTCATTTTCAGAAGAGGAAACTGAGGCTCAGAGAGGCTAGGTATCGGGCCCAAGGTCGCAGAGTTAAGAGGCAGAATTGGGATTTGAGTTCCCGGATGTTGGCCTCCCACGTCCACGCCCTTTCCCGTCTGTTGGGGCTGCCTTACGGGCCACACTGATACGGCTGGTGTGGGGAGGAGCCACCGGATCGGTGGGGGTCGTTGGCTTTTTCAGGGCAAGCTCCGCCTCATTGGTTACTTGTCATGGTATCCTCCAGGCCTGCGTCGGTGCCAGCCACAGAACACTCTAGATGTTTGTGGAATTGCTTTAAAAGGTGTTTGGTGAGCAGTTACCTATGACCAACTCCAACAAAGAGGGCACCGGAGGGGGAGTCTTGCAGGAACAGAGGAGCGGTGTGGTGGGGAGGAGCAGCGGGAAAGCCCGTCCCGCACTCTGCCCTGACCTCCCCCAGCATTTCCTCAAAGGGAGTCTTAGAAGCACCACTTCCAAGCTCTCTGTGCGTGTGGTGGGAATGAAGCCCAGGCTCTAGGAACACGGTCTCCCGCCGCCTGTCCCTACCTTCTTGCTCCTCACCTGCCTTCTCCTTGCTCCTGGCCTTTACGATGAGCTGTGGTGCCCGGCAGCAGACAGTGAAGGTGCCCGCTCCCTCAAGAGACCATGCCCTCCTTCCCAGAATAGCAGGTGGGACACCAGCCCCCGCCTCAGGGCCCCCCCTGGCCTCACCCTCAGTGCTGGCATCATCCACCAGGATGATCTCCCTCAGCAGGATGGCAGGGCTGGTGTGCAGGACACTGTACACCGTCCGCAGCAGCGTGGACCAGGCCTCGTTGTGAAACACAATGATGACGCTGGTGGTGGGCAGTGGCGGGCAGCGCCGGAACTTCTGGTCGACACACCTGGGAAAACGAAAGTGTAGATGCAGCTCTCCAAGACCCTCAGAGTTTGGGGGTCGGGGGTGTGTGTGCACAACACCCATAACCACCTGCTGCTCCCAGGAACCAGCAGCCCCCGTTCCCTGCTGCAGTTGAGAACAGCTGCCCCCAGTTCCCCGCTCAGCCCGCATTCGCCACCCCCTCTGAGCCTGGGCACGGGTGCCAGCCACCCCACTCCAAAACCCGGTTCCCCAGAGCCGGCTCAGCGCCCAGGCGGGACGCCCTCCTCCCTGCACCCCCTCCGGCTCCTCCGACCTGCTGCAGGAGTTCTCAAGGCTGACTGTCTTCCTCAGTGCGACGTGTACTGTGTAAAGCATCAGGCCATCCCGAGGCCCCAGAGGGAAAGTCATAAAAGGCGAATCTGACATCTGAGAAAAGCGACTACGATTTTCATGTTCTCGCTACCCTTGACATTCTCCTCTAATGCGTTTCCTCATTAGCTCCCTGCGATCGGACGACGCTGTCACAATCAGTTTCCTGACCGTCTCTCTCCCCTGGCCCACTCAGGCCCTCCGGCGCCTGGCCGCGCTGCTGCTCTTGACACTCCAGCTCCAGGGGCTTGTGGACACCTGGATCCTGGATCTCAAGGGAATGCGTGGCCTGACTCCCGTTCTCATCCCGCCTGCTAGTCAGAGAGATTTCCTGTGGAGCCGCCTCTGGCTTCCCGAACGGCCCTGAACCCTTCCCTGCTGAGGAGCTGGTGACAATTCCAAGTGGCACCAACTTCTAGGACTGTAATACTTGGCCAAGTTCTGAGGACCCCAGGTTCGCAACCCTAAAGAATCATGAATTTAGGGACGGGAGCTGCCACATGACACACCGGAAAGGGTATAATTCTTACGTTGGGGAAGACAAGTCTGAGCGGGACAGACACAGAATCTTTGACTTGAGGACAGCGTGGTCACAGCCACGACCACATGGGAGTGAGGCGGATTGCAGCTCGGAGGTCTCGGCACTGGCTCGGTGCTGGGACCGAGAGTGCACAGCTTCCGGTCAAGGCTGGAACCAAGTCCCGGGCCTGCGCGCCTTCGCTGGAGGGCGGACGTCAGGAGGTGTGGGCACGTCCCAACCGCTCCCCAACAGCTCGGCAGCAGAGCCCCGCGTTCTGGGGCAGGCCCAGCACAGGGCAAGGCCACCAAGTCTGTGGCCTGGAATCAGTCCTTCTCAGTCACCCCTCTGCCAGGTCCCGGTCCCCGGCCCCGAGTTCCCCTTTCTGTACCCTGCCACCTTCGTGAGTGTGTTTCCCTCTCACAGGTCTCCCTGCCCCTCTGGCCTGACCAGAATAGTCTTGAACCCCAAACCCTGGGACAAAGACAACTGGTCAGAAAAAGGGGTGAGGGTGTAGAGGAAGTCCTTGCCTATATTTAAAAATCCCTATCAGTTCTTTACTTGGCACTTGGTCCACAGCCACGGCCATGGCCACACCAGCCACTCTTTCAGCAGAGCCGGGCCTCACCCCACACCTCTGGGCGCTACTCACTCAGGGGGTCGAGTGTCGGGCCCCAAGGCCCTCTGCAGGGAGATCCGGTCACTGGCGAAGGCGTTGAAGCAGTGCTTCTTATAGCCTTCTTCCTTTTCCCGGGTCTCCTGTGGGGTCCACTGGTCCTTCTGAAATGCTTTCCCGTCCGCCCCAGGGCTTCTGGGGTCCTGTGGCGGCCGTTCCCAGAAGGGCTTCAGTTCAGCCGGGGTGTAGAACCCAGGGAGGCAGGATGTGTTTGTGGAGACCGGTGCCTTCTGGGGCTCTGGAGCCCTGATCTGGAGCTTGGGCACCGAATCCTTGAGGTTGTTCATGGCTCCCAGCATGAGGTCCAGGACGCGGTCCTTCTGACTCACCAAGGACTTCAGCCATGGCTTCTCTGTGGCCTGCTCCCTGGTGCTTACATCCCTCTGCAGGATGAAGAGGAAGAGCACGAAGGCGCTGCCCACCACGGCCAGGCGCAGGGGCATGTGGCGTCTGCGGAGGAGTCTCATCCTCTGGAACCGGTGGGGACCCCGGCTGAGTCGGCTCTAGCGCTGGGCCCAGCCCTGGAAATAGCTTGACGTGTCGTGGTGGCCACACCTCGGGGCCTGAGCCTGAGAAGGGAGGAGATGAGGAAGACAAATAAGCCAAGGCAGGGTGGAGAGGGAGTCAGGGGTTTGGGGTTCAAAGCAGGCTCAGTTCCTGAATAGTGACATCACCTTATCCAGTCACTTAACTCTCCTGCATCTATGTCCTCCATCCCTAAAATGAGGAGACTGGAATCAGTGTTTCTTTCCTGCCCTAAGATTCTGACATTAATGGATATAGAAGAACCAGGACACTCGAACTCTAAATGCAGAGATTAACGGGCATAACCACTTTAGGCAACAATTTGGCAATTCCGCTCCTAGTTTCGTATTCCAGACAGACCCCAGTGCACATGAGCTGGGAGGCACTCACCGGGGAGTTTCTAGGTGCACTGAGTAAACGGCAAAGGCAGCAACCATCCAAATGTCCATCAGCAGTAGAATGAATAAATAGGTTGTAAAATATATCCATATTATGGAGTACGCAACAGCAGTGCCAAAGACTGAACCACTTTGACACGCAATGCCCCAGATGTTATGTCGGGTGAAAAAAGCAAGTGGCAGAAAGATACATACAGTATGGTTCCATTTATAGAAAACTGTAAAATTTTAAACTAAACAATATATTGTTTATGAAAACAAAAATGAATATAAAATATTGCTCATGAATAAAAAAATAAATATGTAGTAAAGCTATATATAAAAAAAAAAAACAAAACTAAAGGGCCCTGGCCAGTGTGGCTCAGTGCATTGAGTGCTAGACTGTGAACCAAAGGGTTGCTGGTTCAATTCCCAGTCAGGGCACGTGCCTGGGTTATGAGCAGGATCCCCAGTAGGGAGTGTCGAGAGGCAACCACACACTGATGTTTCTCTCCCTTTCTCCCTCCCTTCCTCTCTTTAAAAATAAATAAGCAAAATAAGAAAGAAAGAAAACTAAAGGAACAGTGAAAGCAGAGTTTCTGAAGAAGGAGGAAACATACGGGAATAAAGGCACCACCAAACTTCAAAGCAAAGTGCTTTTTCTTAAAGCGGGAGGTGGCTGCTTCTGGCACTGTTATTCCTTATAGCCTAAACATATTTTATAAATATTCTTCTGCATCTACTCCTATTTGATAAGACATGGATATCTCGATTCTATGACAACACCTTCCAGGCGGGACTGAGCTCCAGTGTTCGTCAGCTGACACCCCAGGCGTACACATCGTCCCACGGCTCAGAGGACGTTTGTGGAATTTTCTGTGGAGAGCTCTGGAAACACGAGGTGCCACTGTTAAGTACCAGATGCTCATGGCGGCAGACCTGCACACAAATCCCAGTTCTGCCCCTTCTAGTAATAACAGCACCTGCTTCCTAGGGTTGTTACAAGGGTTAATAAGTTCAATGAAACAAACATGGAAAAAGCTTAGTTGTCTCTGCTCACAGTAGATTCTGAAAAAGTGTTAATTTTTCTCATCAGTGGCTCTGTGACCCTTGGGCAAATTACTTAATCTCTCTAAGCCTCAATTTCCTCATCCATAAAGTGGGGATAACTAATACCTAACTCACAGGGCATGGTGAGGATCGAATTAGAGCTAATGTACAAACCCTTGGCAGAATGCCTGGCACATACTAATCCCTTAGTAAATGGTATCAATTTCTATCCTTATAATTAATAAATCTCTGCTCAGCTTTCCAGCAATTTTCCTCAAGCACCTGGTCCTTGGCCAAAGCCACACTCATTCCCGTGTGGCACATCTTGCTTAAAAGTAACTTTATTTGAGCTATTTAATTATGTTGCTTGAACACGAAAGCTCCTGCCCGTGGAGAAGCCTGCCGTCTGGAGCCACCTGGATTTGGGGAACATGACCTCAAGGGGAGCATGAGTCATTCTGGGTGGGCGAGACAGGTGGTTTTCTTTTATAACATCAGACACAGCCACAGCATCAAAAATCAAATAAAATGAAATCTCTCTGAGCATCTATTTTGCATTAGATGTTGCCTAGGAGACAGGAGAGGAGCTTGTTCGCTCTGCCAGTGTTGGTGGAGCACCTGCTATGTGCCAGGTACTCTGCCGGGCTGGGGAGACACGGAGCTGAGCAGGCCCAGCCTTCGAGAAGCATGCAGTCAACTGGGGGAGTCCGATTTTAAATACAGATCACTCGGGGAGACTTAAGAGAGGCGCCCTTGGGTGCCGACAGAAGATACGAGAAACTCTGTGGGTGGGGGAGGGTGACATCTGAGAAGAGGTCTCCACGGGGAGGAGGCTGGGCTGAGCACTACCCCACAAGCAGGAGCCGGCCAGGCGACGTGGGCACACGCGGAGGCCCGGGGGCAGGAGACGGCAGAGCCCGTCGGAGGACGGCAGGCAGACTGGGGCTGCGGGAGAACGAAGCCTGAGGGAGGCAGTAGAGGACGGGCCTGGGCAGGCGGGTGCTGCCAACTCACCATGCCAAGCAGTCTGCCGCCGACCTGAAGTCCGAGGAGCAATACAGGGTCAGAGGGAGCTGGCGCTGCAGGAGGGACCACGTGATAGCTGGGGCAGGGCACCTGATTGGCAGCGGGATGGCCACCTAAGAGGGGCTTGGGATGTGACCCAAGACGGCAACAGTGCTGATGGCGGGGGGAGGCTGTGGTGCTAGAAAACGCCCCTTGGGTGACGGGTGGGGACAGTTCAGTTCGGCCGGGGCACGAGGTGTGAAAGGCTGCTTTCCCCTGGGATTTTAGGGTCTAGCTGGAGGACAAAAACTGGTACCGCTGGGTCTAGGCAGCGCCTGTCTGGGAGGAAAAGGAGCAGGGAAAACATCTTCGCTGAACCCCCTTTTGTACTTTGAACCTGACTGTATTACCTATTTGAAAAGTAATAACATTAAAACACTAGCACAGGCAGTGAGTGCCCAGTTGGAAAGGCAGAGCTCCCCGTGGCCTTGAAGCAGGCTTCAAGGAGGAGATGGGGATTCAGTGCGGAGTGAGTTTCCTGCTCCAGGTGTGGAGCTGTGCTGGGCCGGCACAGGCAGTTCTGCTGGAGCTGGACACCTCGGAAACCCTGAACTGCCCCAGCTAAGCACAAACGGAGCCCAACAGGAGGGGAAGTGTCTGCCATGACAGTGGCAACCTGTCCTGCAGGCCATGCTCCCTTAAACGGAAACAGTCCCATAGAGAACAGGCTGACAGCTGGAGAGAGAGTGGGGGGAGGTGCCAGAGGGCTCCGTGGGTAAACAGATTGAAAAAAAAAAAGAGGGAAAATAAAAGAATGTAACCTCCCCCCAAAGAAACAACAGTGTTAACAGTTTAGTCAAGTGCTTAAGACTCACCTCCTCCAGGAAGGCCTTCCTGACCAATTCACTCAGAATCACCAAGGTCACTTCAACCCCCACTTCCTGGTATTATGTCATGATCCCTCGAAGTGGAGTTGGTCTTTATTCCTTTTATTTCCCCTGAAGAGAGGGACCCAGGGTTAAATTGAGCCCTTCCCTGACATACATTCTCTCAATCCAAGAGTCTGCAATTCCTCAAGGCACTAACCACATCCTGAAATGAAAGGAGACACCTGTGATTAGCCTTGGCAGTAAGGCCCTTGTTCTCTAGTTTGTTTGCTCAGCGTGTAGGTGATAGGAAAAGAGTCGCTCAGAAGAGACACATAATCCGATGGAAGACAGAAGACTGGGATTAAGGATTCCCGCTCTCTGAGTAGATGATTCCCAGAAGTGTGGTTAGCAAGGTCGGGGAGGTTGCCCTTCCACCAGCCTTGGGGAAGCAACAGCCCCTCTTCTACGCACCAAGTGCAGGGCTTCATCGATCTTCCCCCGAGGTGTCCTGTGTGGCTCCCTCTCCTTCTCGTTCCCACAGCGCGGCCACCAGGTGCCCTGGCAAGTGCGCCCGCACCCACTCACTGCCCTCCTCCTGCTGCTGCTGAGAGTTCATGCCCAATTCTTTTTCCTCTTGGGATTTCAACACATTGAACCATCCTGGGTTTCAGTACTGAGATGACGCCAGAACACAAATGCACCTTCTGTCACTGGTCTAAGGGAACTGAGCCTTCCTGCAGCTCAGTGTCTATGAAACTGCTGACCACACCCCACTATAGGGTTGTGAAATACATTTAGACTGTTGCAAATCAGCATGAAAAAATTATTTAAAATTAGAATGGAATAGAACAAAAAAATCAAAGTAGGTCACATGTAAAATAGACAATGTTTTGTTAAACATTTCATTTCAGTTACTATACAGAATATATAGTGTTCCGAAAGTCTTAGGGAAGTCTCACACTTCAATAACTTCAGAAACAGAAACACTACAGACTTTCAAAGAACATCATTTGAAAGTTTTATTTAAATTTCTTTTACCTGCCCTGGCTGGTGTAGCTCAGTGGATTGAGCACGGGCTAGGAATCAAAGGGTCGCTAGTTCGATTCCCAGTCAGGGCACGTGACTGGGTTGCAGGCCAGGTCCCCAGTCGGGGCCATGTGAGAGGCAACCACACATTGATGTTTCTCTCCCTCTCTTTCTCCCTCCTTTCCACTCTCCTTAAAAATAAGTAAAATCTTAAAAAAAATAATAAGTAAATTTCCCTTATTGAGTTTTATGAATTTGGAAAAATAAATTTTTATTTTAATGTTTGTCTCAATCCATTGATGATAAACATTTCCTGATACAAACTGAAATGGAAAAATTTTTATTCAAAAATTCATAAAGGTGGAAAATGTAAATGACTACATTTCAAATCGTGTTTTTTGTTCATTTGTAGAATCCATACCTCTGATGTGATAAAAGTGCAAAACTGCCCCAAGTCTTCTGGGATACCCTGTCACATGTTAAGTGGGCATGACATTTTGTTGCAAAATGTCTTTCTTGCTTTGCTCCAGTCACAGAGCTCTGAAAGCCAGCGACTGACACAGCCCGTCCCCCAGGAGCCTTCTCAGACCTGCAGCAGAACTCCTCCCTCCCGGCCCCACCCGACCCTCAGCGGCCCCGTCACAGCCTTCCCTGTGTGGGAGCAGTCTGCTCTCTCTCACACCCCTGTGACCTCCCGCACCAGACGGGCCAGGCTGCGTTCACCTCTTCATCACTTGCAAAGTCTAGCACAAGTTCACTCTGTAGGAAGTAGTCCATGAACTGTTGTTCAAAGAGCCGAGGGCAGCCTGGTGACAGCCACAGGGACTTCACTGGGTGATCTTTTGAGTGCACTCACTCCACCAAGCACCGAGTCACATGCTATTCTGTTGTTAGGCGTTAGTGCGCCATTCCGACTCGGTCTGCCGGCCAGTCCAGCACCCTCGGATTTTACAGGTGAGGCCGGAGTGGTTGGGTTACTTCCACATTGTCCCACAGCTTGTGGCTCCCCGGCGCAGATGGTGGTCTCTAAACTGCCTGGCCACTGCTCTGTTCCCACATCTCACCTACCCCTTGCAGGCCCCCTGGGGAGCTGGGGGACTGGGTTTGGATCTCCTGAGCCTGAGCAGGGCCGTTTTCCTGAGTGTCCTGACTTTACTCTCAGATCCCCACCCCCACCCCAAATCCCACTCAAGACTACAAATGCTTTAAAGACGCCCAAACTGAAAGTCCCAAACAAAGTTTCAGCTTTTATGAAAGCCAGGGTAAACCACACAAAACACACCCTTGCTGGCCAGGTGACCTCTTTGTAACAAGGTTTCTTTCTGTGTATCCACTGAGTGGCTCACCTCCGGAGACGTGGCAGCCAGGAAGTGAGGCACCGCCACAGGGATGTTTGTTCAGGTTGGTCACACTAAGGCTCCATCACAGGTTTCTTGAAAAGAGGTGACTGTCGCCTCTCACCCAAGGTGCAGGTGCATGGAGCTGGACACCACCGTCGGGGAGGGAACAAGTCAGTTTCAGGCTACTGGTGGGGGCAGAGGGCCAGGAGGCAGCCTTGGCCGAACATCATCCTGTTCTTCCTTCCCTTCACACAGACATTTCACTTCCTCTGCTCGCGTGCTGAGAACAAGGTAGCAAACCACCTCCTTCAAGCCTCTCCTCCCGCTCCGACCCTTCTGCTTACAGAACGTTGCAAGGTTTTCACTTTCCTCCATAATTACACCTTTAAGACATTTCAGCTGCTATGGCTTATTTGCCCAGAAAGACACAGTGTAGGTTATTTCTGTAGCTAGTCTGGTAAGTTCCTTCCCCAGCACACCCAGGTTCATTTTATGTTCGTATAACATGTCAAGCTGAAGTAAACCCAAACAGCAGGCTTTCAGCTGAAACGACCTAACCAACTCTGTGCACACTGTAAACCTAGAACAGTACAGACATACACGGCACATATACTTGGCACGTATACAGTGGGCACTCAGTAAATATTTGTCGATTTATTACAATTTTGTGAAAGTCCTTGAAAATCAAAATGATATGTGACCCAACAGGAAGTCCCGCAGCTGGATCACAGGTTTTCACTGGGGCTCCGTGCAGGCCCCGACAGGCCGGCAGGAATGTGCGACTGCACCCAGACCAGGAGACGGCCGGCTCCTCGGGGTCCAGTGACGGAGGAGGAAACTTCAGGGGGGCGTGACGTGGCATTTCCCAAACCCTGGTGACAGGCTGGGTTTGAGAGGAGGCAAACTGCTCCCCCCCCCCCAAAAAAAAAACCTCTCCAAAAAACCAAACTAAAAAACTTGAATTGAGTCTTATCACCTGTTGGCTGGGCGTGCGGAGGGAGGATAAAGGGGGACTGAAAGGAAAGGTATTCCTAAGGGCTTGGACTGCTCTCCGGACTGTGGAGGGGGCAGCAGTGAGTCTTGCCTTCTCTCCCCCACCCACCATCCATGCAGGGCCACCAGAGACTCAACATGCCTCACTCTGAAGTCAGGGTGTGTGTTCTGCCCGCCCCCCAGCCAGCATTCCCAGTTTCCCCGCTACAGCCAGCAGCACCGAAATCCTAGAAACCACCACCTCTGCCCCACTCCAGCGGGCAGCGTGTGTAGTTCGGAATCCCTTCTCAGTATCAGGTTCACCCCACCCACTGCCGAGTTCTGCTGATTCATTCTCTGCCTCCCCAAACCCTCATCTGAGAATGCGCCCTTATCACCCAACATCTGGAGGATAAGCAGAAGCTGCCAGCCAGCGCCCTTTGCCTCAGGCCTCCCTCTCCCTTTCACAACCAGAACAGCCACATCCATATTTCTCACCCTCACTGGCTCTCTTTCCTCTCCACTGCCTTTCCCTTATATTCTTGCTAAGCAAGCCATGTTTCTTTTCCCTTTCACATTCTGATGCGAAACTCCCCTCCTCCAAGCAGCCTTCTTAGTCCAAGGTGTATCTTACTGCCCTCAGTATCAAGGTGCATTTGTTTCCAAGTGTCACTACCCATGTGTCGCCACGTGGGACTTCCCCACTAGATTTTAGGAGGGAGAAGTAACAGGTCTAGACACTAAGCCACCTAGGTCCTATTTGCTTGCTCTTTCCCAACCCTTAGATCCTGGGCCCTGATTTCTGCCTCTAGGATGCAATCCCCCTGGCCCTCCCACCCCTTCAGGGTCCCCCTGCCCTGAGGGATTCGGTTATGCTGTTCCACTGCTCTCATCTGTCCTTTGTTCTCTGTTATACGTCAGATGTAGAGCTGATGGTGCGGATTGGGTTTCTTCCTTCCTTCAAATCTCTTCGTAGGGCTCAGGACCAGGTTGCCCAGGGTACAGAAGAATAACCTGACCCCACAGGGCTCTTAGGTGCCACAAAAGAGTCTTCTGACAGTGCCTTTTCTCTCCAGACTGAACCCATCCTTGTTCACTGTGCGAGCCTTTTCAACAGCACAATTATAGCATTGAGCTCGACAGAGACAGTCACTGCCCTGCACTTGACCTCTCCCTTATTCAAACCCTCACTCTCATTCCCATCAAATGAAAACGGACATTTTTGGGATTTCCCAGAGAGGAGCAGGGGCTGCACGAAGAGCTAGTTTACCCAAGTCTTTGGCACAGGGATTCACTGGGTCCCCCGGCGCACAGGCACCTGCTCAGGTCCTCGGCTTCACTTCCAGGGCTGGGGACGCTCGAACAAGTCTGTGAGAGACAGGAGAGAGTTAGGACAGTACCACCACTTTTAAAATGACCACTCACCACACCAAGTCAAGTGACAGTCATCTTCTCCATTTTACACAGGAAACTGAAGCACAGTGAGCTAAAGTAACTTGACCAAAGTCACATAGCGAGGAAGTAGCAGAGGCAGGATTTGCACTCGGGCCCACGTCTCTCCAAAGCCCACCCACTGCCTTCCCCATGACACCTCCCTGCCTTGTATTTGGCTGGTGCTTAGAGCTTTGCCAAAGCTCTTTCGTACACACCTTCTCATTTGCTCTCCACCCAGGGAGTGTTTATGTGATTTGGCTAAGGTTAGACAGCTAAATTAGCGACAGGGCTGAGTCAGCCGCCTGCCTCCATTATACCCACTGCCTTCGGGAATTGAGAGGCCCTCGGTGCTAGGGTTTACTGCCCCTCCTATTCCTGACTTCTGTTCTAGGCAATGGCTACATGGACTAAGCCCATGGCCATAGCTCCTGTCCAGTTTTCTCCCGCCTGAAGTTGAGCTAAGGTGTTTCTGACCTCAGAGGGCATCTGACACATACGAGGGTTTCCCCTTTCATGCCTGAGTTCTTCTCTGCTGCTGTGGGAGGGAGTCAGCCGTCCTGCTAACTGTGGGCAGTGATTACCAAGGACGAGACCATAGCGGTCATCCAGAATCCTTTGTGGTTGCACCAGCTTCAGACTACCTCTTCCCTTTGACAGTTCTGTTCTGTTTTCTGCCCTGGTGTCCCTAAAGTGTCACCTCTGGGTGCCTAAAATGAATGGGATTCTTGAGGAACAGGAGCGAGGGAAGTCCCTGCAATCACACCGACTTTTGCTGGATAACTTGAAGCAAAATCTATAGCATATACCATCCATCCTGTGAATTTGCCTGCCTCATCCTTTTTACCTTTCCTGTGATGGGTAGGGACACAGCTGATCTGTCCACAAGGAGGACAGGGCCTGGGTGGTAGAACCCACCTCTAGTAAAATGACCGCAAGCCCCAGGTTCTTTGGTGTCTCCAGAGCTGCTGACCTCCGTGGGCCTGGGGGTGTGCTGAGAGCACAGTATCAAACGCTCCCTGGGACTGTTGCAATGGGTTGTTGGCTAATAGAGGGGGTCTGTTCTAAGTGCTGGTGGCAAACTGCACCCTCCCCCCCCACACACACACACAGGAGAGCTCTGTCCTACCCTCTGCCGACAGGGTCTTGGGGCAAGTAAGTTTCTCCTTTTGGTTAGCTAGGGCTTGGAACAAATGACGGGGAAATGGGGAAGTTGGCAACAGCCACAATCATGAAGATACATCAGACTCCCTCCCCACAATGGCACACGGCTCCCACTTGCAAAAGGCCCAAGGCCCCAGAGGGGAGACTTCTGAGACGACCCCAGCCCCCCAGGAGGCTTCTCCTGCCTTGCCCTTCTGCGCAGGGGCAACACAGCACTGGCGGGAGGTCACCTCTGTGAAAGAGTTCCTGTAGCAGGGCACAGAGGGTGGCCCACCCGCGGAGGCTGGGCACACAGGATGCACGCAGCGGCCTGGGCGAGTGAAGGGAAGAGGTGGAGAGCCCTGGAGCGAGGGCGCGGGCTTGTCCCTCTCCTGCCCCACCCCTACGAGCCAGAGCCCTGGGCTTGTCTTGCACTCATCCTTTAAGGGGCAAAGGAGGAGGGGATCCTACCGCGGGAGGAGCTAGAGGCCACCAGGACCGATTAGGACCATTGTGACCCACCCTCTGCATGTTACTGTGGGGTGCGGTGAGGAGGAAGAAGAGGAGGAGGAGGTGGGAGAGAGCGAGGACCAGGCAGAAGCGAGAGACTGGAGGGAAGTCTCGAGAAGGGGGACAGCTCAGGGTTTCAAGTCAGGGGGAGGGTCGCAGGAGGCCCTGGAGGCTGCTTCCGAGACTCACCTGCTGCGCCGAGGCCGCGCCGCCGCCGCCGCCGAGCAGCCCGTGGGTTTTCTGACGGGACGTCCTGGGGGGCGGGGCCGCGCAGGATCCGCGAGGCCGCCGGGGCGCGTCCTGCCCGCCCCCCCGCAGGCCGGGTGCTCGGCGGCCGCCCGGGTCCCGTAACTTCTCCCCTCCGCCTGCGGGCCGCTGCCAGGAGCCCAGCTTTTCCAGATCTCAGCCCCCGCACGGTGCGGCCTCCGCGGGAAAAGACCGGAGGGCCCCTACCCACCCCAAAGTCCAGGGGCATCGCCGGTCCGGCTGGCGGCGCGGCGGGAACGCTCAGAGCCCGAGGCCGCGGCGCTGGAGGGTTAACCCGGGGGCAGGCGGTGAGCAGCCCGGGGCTCCGTCCGTGTTTGCTGCTCACCGGCGGGGCTGTCCCGGGCCAACGACTCCTCCCCTGCACATGAAGGCGGGAGGGCCTACCCTCACCGTCCAGAAAGTACACGGGGGACGGCTGGTCGCACAGCCACGGGGATGCTCGCAGCGGGTCCCGGACCGGCAGCAGCAGCAGCATCGGATAATCCGTTGGGAAGGTGGATTCTTGGGTCCCCTCCCAGACCTAAATAATGCAGATCTCTGGGGATGGGGCCCAGAGATTTGCGTTCTTCAAAGCCCTCCAGGCGATTCTGGGGCACACTCAACCTTGAGAACCATGGAGCCCGTGGCGGCGGGGCTGGGATTAGGGTCCAGTCGGTCCACTTCCCGCGCGCCCCGCACCTCCCCTGCAGGCCACGTGCTGTCCGGTCCGCCTCCAGGAGTCTGCGGTGTCGTCTGCGGGTCTTTATCTCGATAAAAGGGGAGCAGCACAGTGGACTGCAAATAAACCTGATATTTTGAAAGTTTTCTGTGATAGAATCTGAAACCACTAATTGTGTTTTTCTTTGTTTTGATACTTAAACAAGTTTGTTTAAACATCTCTTAAGTTTACAAGACCTGGGAGCAGGAGTGTGGGTGAGGAGATCCGAGCAAGAAGACAGGTGTGACCTGAACCAGGACAGGCAGGGGAAGCTACCTGGCGATGAACTGTTGGATGAAGGAGTCATTTTATTTTCTAATCTGGGACCCCATGCTAGAATCGAGCTGTGCGGGAGGCCAAAGGCTTCCCAGTGATCGGGTCTGGAGAGACAAGGCTGGCGGACCGTGGAGCCCCGGCCCAGGCCCACCAGATCAGGGGGACGCTGAAAGATGGGCGTTCCCAAAGGAGCGTGGCCACCTATCTCTTCCTTCTCCAAGTCGCTGAGTATTCCACCCGCCCAACTCCCTTTCTTTCACACTAGAGACTTTCTGGGGTTTAAATTCCCAAAGAAAGACTTTCTACAGTGGTTACCTGATGGTGCATTTTAGCCCCGCAACAGACCCCCAGGGCTCATGTTGGCTCCCACTGCTCCAGCTGCCTCCATTCTTGGCACTTGCCTTATTAGACTGCTATCTTTCTCGGAATAAGAACATTCTCTATCGAAGATTGCGGGGCGATGCCCCTTATTTCTCTTTCTCTGAGCGCTGGACTCTCCCTTACAGGTCTGGCCCTACTATTTTTGCTCCGCCCTCCCTTTAACTCTGCTCTGTGACTCCCAGGGGTCATGTGACTCTCACCCAGCCCTGGAGCCTCAGTCTGGACCCAGCCTGACCTAAGGGTCACAGGCTAGGCTGGATTCACATTGTTCTCCAGGATGGTCATGACCACGGACTCCATGCCAGTGTCCCAAGGAAGCAGCATTAGTCTGTATTCTGTGCACCACTTTCCGGAACCAAATTACTCATTCGATTTCATTTCAACTGACTCTGATTTTAAATGTGACTTTCACTCCTCAGAATCATTAGCTGTCTGATTTGGAGACACATGTCTACAGGATGTGGGACCCACCCCTAATGTGTCACACAGGGAGCCTCTCAGCCGCCCTGCTCTCAGGTTCAGGACGATCTGAAGACGAGCTGCTGCACAATAGCCACTGTGACTTCCGCCTGCCATTGGTGGCTGGCCGCTTTTTAAAAGATTACTTTAATTGAAAAATTTATATAGGCATAGTTTTTTTAAAATCAAGCATTAAAAACTATGTACAATGCAAGATACGTTTCCTTCCTCCCAGCTTTCAGTTCTTCTGTCCAGAAATCATCTTGCATATTTCTGCCCAAAACTCGCCATCATTACGCTTTTCTGCAGAACATGCCTGCATCCCCTGCTCTGAATTTCATTTTTTTCTCCCAATTTTATTTTTATTTCTGGGCCATTTTAGATTTTGTTTTGGGGTGTTGGGTTTTGCTTTTCACACCAATGTGCTTCAGGGGCTCCCCCACCCCACAGCAGGAAATGCTGTGGGGAGCAGATCAGTGGAAGCTGGTGAGACAAGAGCTGCTCCCTGAGGCTGTGACGTGGGCTTTGGTCCTGGTCAAGTCTCTTCCTTCTACACGCAGCGCCTGGTAAGGGGACACCCACCTCTGGGTGGGGCAGGATGAGGGAGATTTGCTCCTGTGGAGGAGGTGCGAAGCTCCACGTTGCAGGGAAAGTTTGCAGAGGAAGCCACCCTGCGCTTGCTAGGGAGGTTGGGGGGGAGGGCGGGTGGCCTGCTGACAACATGTCCGCCCTCCCTGTGACTTTCGTCCTCCACCTGGGAGGGTAGCTAACCCCAGAAGGAACCAGGTAAGTCCCTGTAACTTTGTTACATCTCAGTCTGCTATCTGTAAAGTGGGGTTAATGATGCTTAGGGTTGTGACACTCAAGCAAATAGCCGAGATGAACGTGCTATGATTTAGTTCCACCAGGGCTGCTTCTTCATCTGTCTTCTCCCCGTGAGCCCCCTTCTGCCTTCTCACCTCATTCCCACGCCCAGAAGAGAAATGGTCGAAGCAAGAAACCCAATCAGAGCTGCTCCAAGTTCTGCCATAACCACTCATTTATTCCGATTCCCTGCCCTCTGTGCGCCTCAATTTCCTCATCTGTAAAGTGGGCATATTATTTTTATTATTGAGTTGTTAGATTAAAATAAATAAAATGTTTCCTTAACCCACTGCCTGGTACACAATAAGCACTAAGTCAATGTTAGAAGGTTAGTTTTATCATTAGCTGTTTTCCTTCCTTCCACAAAACAATGTTGAAGCCCATGCTTGGTAGATTCTATGCTGGGTATTGGGAAGGACACAGATGTGAAGATAAATAAGCCACATCTTTCTCCCCAGGACACCCATAGTCTAGGAAAGGAAGTCAATAAGTGTAAAAGGGATTATGTCTGGGGCAGAGACAGGACTAGGGTAAGGTGAGTGAGGCACTTGCTTTGAATGCAAAATTAAAGAGGGTACCGCAAAATTCAGTAATTCAAATATTTCAATATTTAATAATATTTAACATAATATTTAAAAAATCAAAATTAATAAAAATCTGCAATGAGCAAAACATTAACAATTTAAAATAAAGAACAGTGATTCTGCTGAGCCATATTGGAGCTTGAGGCAAAAGAAAAAATGTGTATACCATATTCATGTTTCTCTGTGTGTTTTTTTAAAAGATTTTTAACCTACTTTTAGAGTGAGGGGAAGGGAGGGATACAGAGAAAAAGAAAGAGAAAGAGAGAAATAGCAACGTGTGAGAGATACAATGTCAGCTGCCTTCCGCATGCACGCCACCAACTGGAGACCTGGCCCACAGCCCAGCCATGTGCCGTGACTGGGAACTGAACTGGCGACCTTTTGGTTCACAGCCTGGTGCTCAGTCCAGTGAGCCACATCAGCCAGGGCTTTATCTGTATTTTTTTAAATGCTTGTTTTTTTCTAGTTCATTAAAGTAGTTGAAATATTTAAAAATAGGTATATTAAAACCCACATTAATTTAAAATACATATTTTATTTACACAGAAACAGAATTTACTATGACTTTACTTTAGCTTAGTTAAAATTTATTTAAGATCATCACTTGGTCAAGAGAAATTTTTCAAGCATGCAGTTTCTTAACTGAAAATAAAATAAGCAAAAAATTAGATTTTAAAAGTATCATTATGAGTTTGCTTGTATTAAAGCAAATTTTCTTTTTTCTCAGGCTTCAACGTGGCACTGGATTGGAGTCTGGACAAAGAACCTAAAGAGAATGGTGGGGGGGGGTACAAGAAAGGGAGAAGAGTTAGAAGAGCTGGAAGAACAAGTGATACCATATTTATTGTTTTTATTAATTACCCAAATATCACATGTTTAGAAAGCACAAAAAAACAAACAAGAAAATACACTACCCAAAATTAAGGTACCTAGAGATTACCACTGTTACTATTTTGCTGTAATACATTCTATTTTCGTCTACGCATGTGTAATCCACATGCACATGTATTTCATCAATTCTAAGATGCCTATTTTTTTTTCATTTTTTAATATTTCTGAAATCGGCGTGTATCTTAAAATTGTTGGTATCACAGTTAGCAGTGTTTTTCCTGTACTGGTATATAAAATAATGATTTATCTTATAATTTACATTAAATGACTATGTATAACCATGAAATTATATGTATAATACATATGAAATTCCTTCACTCTCTTCCTCCCTTCAGCTTATGTACGTAATTACTGTATCTATGTGACAAAACTGGAATCATACTGAATATACTGTTTTATGACCCCATTTTTTTGTTTACTATATTATATATTTTTCAGGGTGATGAAAAATAATCTCACATTAGGTCATGAATCACTGCATAGTGGTTTGTTATGTAGATGAACCATATATATATATGTGTGTGTGTGTGTGTGTGTGTGTGTGTGTGTGTGTATTTAATCAACTACTCTTTATAGGACATTTGGGTTGTTTGCCTGTTTTGTTTTTCTACTCTGTGTAGCTTGGCTGTGCCGCTAGAGGTTAAGTCCATGTACAGTTTTTCTTTCCCGCTCTGTCCCACCTCAAGTGAGAGATCAGAAAGTTACTTTGATTGGCATTTGTAAGATAAATCACCTTGAGTTCTTGAAGTAATCTACCCCCCTACTGCCCCAAGAAGTAGGGTGTGTGTGTGTGTGTGTGTGTGTGTGTGTGTGTGTGTGTTAATTACTCTGGGAAGCACTGAGGGGACCACTGATGGTAGTCAAATAATC